ACTGCTGGATGCAGAGTCTACAGCATCATAGGATGGAACCTGAGGTTCTGAGGGTTCCTTTTTTTTTTTTTTTTTTTTAACATCCTGTATTATTCTCATTTTTCAGCAAGACTTTGAGGAAACAGCAGCAGAATGTTCATTAATGCTGCCTATGTTTAACTGTGAAAAGATGCAGTGTGTTGGATATACCAGCAATTGAGTTGGGTCACAAGCTTATTTCTGGCTGGTGTGTAGATCTGTGCAAGCAGATGTTTAAAAATGAACACTGAGGAGAAGCCCTGTTAGTGTGGTCAGGGGAGAAGAGAGTGAAATTTGCAGCAGCTCCTTGCTGTGTTTTGGCTCCTCTTCTAAGTTTGGAGTCAACTCTTCTTGCTTTCTGCTTTGCAGACATAACATAACTGGTTGGACTGATAAGAGGTTATTAGTACTAAGTCAATAAAGGCCTCTCAAGTAAAGGACCTGTACGAATGCTGTGCTGCAGTTGCTCAGAAGGAAATTTCATGGACGTCTGTCCTAGTATAAGACAGAGAAAATGACAGAAAGTACACTGCTTCCTTACAGCTCTCTTTTGCACTGACTCATTTTTGCAGGACAGAAGCAGGATAAAAGCTCTGCTTTGCGAGAGGGTAAAGAAGGAGCAAAGGAGAGTAAATTTCTCATTGTTTCTGAGAGGATAATTTAGGCAGGGCTTGGTGGAATGTGGGTGTCTGATATTTATAAATGTACTGTTTGTGCTCATCTCCTCCATTTCTCTCTACCCCCCCTATTTATTTTTAACTAGCCGGATTTCCCTTACAAAGATGATCTTCTTTCACTGGATTCCAGCTGTCTTCTGTTTATTGTTCTGGTGTTCTTCGCTTTATTTATCATTTTAAAGGTAAGTCACAATTTTAAACTTGTGACCATTTAATGAGTTGCTTTGTTCACATGCTATCAGTAGATACAGACATACTGAATTAACTTGGAGTGCAATTGCTGACCTGTTAGGATGTTCAGTTGTGACACAACTCCAGTCATGCATGTGGTGTACTGTTGTCTCCCATGAATTTGTGCTGCCTGCAGTGGGGCATGTTTGCACCTTAATAGGGAGCAGGAAAGCACAAAGACTCCAGATACTTTTTTTTTTTTTTTTTCCTAAGCTTATCTATATTGAATTGTGGCATGCAAGTTACTTAAATAAAACTTTGAAAATCTTAATCATAATAAACAGGGTGCGAGGAGTATAAAGATTAATCATAAAAATGAAGTACAGTCATCAGAGCATGACGGTGTGTCTTTCTGCAGCAGCTGATGTTAGCTTAACATCAGGCTGCTCTGCTGTGCTGTCCTGTCCTTAGTGCCTCAGGCTTCGTTCTCTCTTCTGCATGTGGTTATACAAATAATAACATGAATTAGGGTAAGTGGAATTGTGCTGTTGGCCTGTCCTCCTCCTGCAAGCAAGTTTGGACTGAGATGCACAGAAGCATAAGTCAGTTAGGGATCAGTTAGACTAGCAGTTCTGAGGCACGCAGATGAAGTGGCTAGATTGTGAATTCCTTTGCAAAGATCTGTGGGGCTCATCCTGTCCTGAATCACTGTGGTAGCAAGGCTACAGGACTAAACCTGCTAATAAGCAGCATCCCTCGTGTGTGTATCTGTATGTCGATGAACATTGCTCCTTTTTGTCACACAGAAGTTATCTAGCATCTAGTTTCTGAATCAGCTAATATATATGAGGTCTTTAAAAAGAGAAATCTTTCCTCTTTCAGGCGTATCTAATCAACTGTGTATGGAACTGCTATAAATACATCAGCAACAGAAATTTGCCAGAGATAGCAGTGTACCCTGCTTTTGAAGCACCTCCACAGGTAAAGCCTCTTTGTGAAGGGAATCAGAAATTAACTTTGGAATAGAAAAGCACAGCATTCATGTTTACATGTCTTGTCTGGATTTCTGAACAAAGAATGGGAGGATTAACATCAGCTGCTTTAACTTGTTTAAGGTAGATTGGCATTGCGTTCTCACAGCACGTAAACAGGAGGGCTTTACAGGGAGGAATCTGGTGGGCTTTCTTGTAATTGAGGGAAGCTTTCTGACTGCACCTATCAAAGCCTTCTTGCTGCTTGCAAAACCAAGAGGCAGTGGGGTGGAACTACTGGCCTTGGGGAGCGCAGCAGTGAACTGCTTGTGCACCATCTTTCACTTTGTCACTCGTGTCAGCTCATTGGAAGCATCGCTAGGTTCCTACATCAGCCTGCAACAGAGAATTAAATTGCAGTGGGCGCGTGTAGATACTTTCACTCTGGGCTTTTTGCACCCTCAGCCTTCTGCATTAATCTCTTCAACATGTTTTCTCTTCAGTACGTTCTGCCAACTTACGAAATGGCAGTGAAGATGCCTGAGAAGGAGCCTCCACCTCCCTACATCCCTGCCTGAAGCACCCTGGATGGTCGTTCACACCTGTACCAGCTCCTTGGGGGTTTTGTCTTTCAATCTTGCAAAACTGCTTAAGTAATAGAAATATTCAGGACTTTAGGAGCAAACTGTTTTAAAATGTTTGATAGAAACTTACTAAGCAAAACTCATCTGGGAGTGATTTTGTTTGCTTTAATTTTTGTTCTCCTTAATGCTTTTAAACATTTTATTGCCTTAGGGCCTTCTACTGCAGGAACTTCTGCGTGTGACTAACCAGTGGCTTTTCCTAATACCATACCTGAGCCCATCTGTGATTCAAGTTAGCTACAAACATAAGTGTCTGCAGGACTGTGCCCTTAATTTATATTCATTTTTTGTAAAGTAGATCATAAAGACAATCTGTGCAGCAGGATGACAGTTTGCCTTTATTTGGTTTTTGGAGGGGAAGGGGTTTGAATGTGGTATATACATGAATTTTTTTTTTACTTTGCACTTTTCTCATATGTTACCTTACTGTGGGTTTTTTTGTTTTATCCTATGTCCTGAAACATAGTATTTTCAGGAAGAAGCGAGGTTGGCACAGGACTTGTATTACAATGTGCTGTCAATGCAAGGGAATAAATAGAAACGTAGATGATGGTTGCATGCTCCTAATCTTATACGTATTTTCATCTTTGTGATAAATGATACTTAAATAAATCTTTTATGAAATGTTTACCAGTAGCCTGGATTGGTCTGCCTCTTTTTTAAATGCTGAAGTCCTTCAGTGCCCTGCAGGCAGGTTCACTAAGCCGTATCTGTATGGCACTGACTGAGAATGGTGTTGTGCAGTGGTTGATCCGTGTTCTCTAGCAGAAGTCCTGTGTATAGAAAGCATGGATTCCCTTCAGTATACAAGCTCGTATTGCAGCCTTGGTTGCAGTTGAACAACTCAGTGGCCTTCTGTTTGGTTGCTACTTATGTAAGCTGAGTAAAGGGAATTGTACTCAAACCTTCCAGACCTGTGGGCAAATTTGATGCCTGGTAAGGTCAGATGTTAAGAGCAGGACAGACACCCAGTGGGACTAGAGCAGTACTTGCACTGGAGAATGTCCAAAGCTGTTGGGTGTGTGCCATACATTCAGTACTGTTCTCTTTTTAAACAGATGAAATTGAGATCTTTCTGTTCTTCCTCCTTTGCAGTAACAGATAAAATACGTTTTACTGATTTGATACATCTGAAGAGCTTCCTACCATGGTAGACGAAAGGGATCTGTGATTAAACTAGGGAAAAGGGGCAGGCAGGCTGTTGGTTATTCCAGTCAGCTGCAATAGGTACCTCCTTCCTGTTGCTTTGCTGTTTAAGAAAATGCTTTTGGTCATTCCCACATATCAGCACGAGGCTGCTTGATTTCTACCTAAAATGCCATCCATGAGAGCACCTTGTGCTGCAGTAGTGTATGCATGTCCTGTGCTGCCCTTCTGCACCCTGCCTCTCCCGTTACCTTTGCACACTGGTGTCCTGTAAGTGCGCTCAGTTTTTGAGTTCTTGAGAGCTTGAGTTCTTGAGAGATTCTTTAAGAGCAAAGACCACTAAAATACAAGTTTTTGGAGGAGAGCTGGAAGAATTGATCACTTAAGTTAGAAGAGACCTTCGAGACCATCAAGTCCCAGCATCAGCCTGACTGCAGAGTCTTACCACTGAACCATTTCCCTCAGTGCCACGTCCACATCTCTTAAATACCTCCAGCTGTGCAGACTCCATTCAGCAACCTGTTTCAATGTGTAACTGCTCCATCCACAGAGAAATTCTTCCTAATATCCAATCTGAACCTCCTGTGGTGCTGCCTGAGATAGTGTCCTATTGTTGGTAAGCAGGCAGGAGAGGCTTTACACCCTCCCTTCTGCAGCCTCCTTTCAGGTCACTGTAAAGAATGTGTGAAACTGAAGTGGTCTTTAACTACATTGCATGGAATTGTAGGGGTTGGGGTCTGCAGCTCTGAATGGTGGTGATGTGGCCCCTGTGCTGTCAGCCCTGCAGATGCCATCATGGCCTCTTCCAAAGTCAGAAAGGCAAGTGGCTGAAGTGACTAATGCCAAAGACTATCGCTGGTGAGGTGAGAGGCTGTGGTTCTGTTCCTCATCACAGGTAACAGTTCCCCTTCCAGAGGTCAAAGGAGACGAGCTCTGGCAGCCCTGCCCGTGGCTCTGCACGGGAGCGAGCTGCCCGCAGGCACTGAATGATGGCAGTCCTGCGCCAGAAGTCGTGTGTTCTGCCGAGCCTTACGCCGCCTGCCCCGAAATTGGCTACCGGGCAGCGCAACCGGGATTAGAACTGAAAACAAAGGCGGATTTGTGCGCCTCGCAGGTCGCCCGTGAGCCTTTCCCCGTATTCTTCGCAAACGTTGCCTCGGAGACGCTCGCTTGAAGCTCGAAGCGCAGCGTTAACGGAGTCATACGAATCATTTCAACGAGAGCGATGAGTTCAGCCCTCCATCCCCTCCGCTCCGAGCGCCGACCCTCTCACCCCTCAATCCTTCCCTCCGAGGCTGCGCGGCCGCGGGGCGGGCGGGGGCAGCGGCCGCGGGCTTTTAAAGGCAGCGCGGCGGCGGCGGGCAGGCGGCACCATGCGGCGGGCGCTCGGAACGCTGGGCTGCTGCCTGGCGCTGCTCCTCCCGCTGCTGCCCGCGACGCGCGGCGTCCCGCACCGCCTGCGCCGGCAGCCGCCGGGCAACGGCCCCGGGAGGCGCGGAGCGGCAGGTACCGCGCTGCTGTGCCGCGCCGCCGCCCGGAGCTGCCCGCTTCCCGCTGCGCTGTGCCCGGCTGCCGCTCCTGCCCATGCTTTGCTTTGCTCGGCGCTGCGCGGCCTCTGCGGGCCCCCGCTGCCCTGGCTTCCCGTGGGGTTTGCTGCGTGCTTGCTTCTGTAAGTGACTGCCGGAAAGTTGGGTCCTGAGGACATCTTAGCTGCAGCTGTCCGGGGCCCCAAGCGTGCAGACAAGAGCATCAACTGCTTGGACCAGCTGACCTCCAAGGGTCCCTTCGAGTTTTACATGATGTGATTCCTTTTCCCCTTCCCTTTTTCCTTTTCCCCTTCCCTTTTTTCCTTTTCCCCTTCCCTTTTTTCCTTTTTTCCTGTTCTTTTCCCCTTCCCTCTTTCCTTTTCTTCTCCCCTTGCCTCCCTCTTAACACCTGATTTATACCCACTGAATTTTCAGAACGTCTCTATTTCAGACTCAGAAGGAGTTGGCTGCTGAAAAGTTTTGTTCCCTCTTCTGAGATAGATGATCATTTTACCTGCAAATCTCACATTTGGCCTTTTCCTTTGTAGGATGAGAAGTGTGCCTCTTTCTTTCATATCTTCAGAGGCACGTGCATGTACTAACATTACCTTACATTTTCTGAGCTTCAGGAGGGTCACAAAGCTGTGCTTCTAAATGCTAATGCAGACAGCAAGCTGGGGGATGCATGTAGAAGTATATATAAGGCGCCTGGATGGGATCTGCAGTTCAGCTGACTGCTTCTCTGTCCCAAAGCAAATCCAACTGTAGTGCTGTTTCCTGGCTGTGCAATTTGATTTTTTCCTTCCTTCTCACTTGCACAGGAAAAAGTTCTTTCATGCATTGGAAAAAAACATTTTCACCTCTACTTTGAAAAGCCTTCTGAAGACAGGGATTTATTTATCTATTTTTAAACCATAATGAAATAATAGAAGTCAGCTTGGTAGTAGCTGGACAAGTGTGTGAGTTTACACTCTAAGTGTACTCAGGCTGCCTGAACGCTTAACATTGTGCTGGCTAACGGGCTGTTGGGCAGAGATGCCTCTATGCCTCTCTGGTAGGAATACTTTGCTTCTAGGTTGTCTTTTTTTCTTGTGCCAGTAGTACAAACCCATTCCCTGATGGCAAACCCTGTTCACATCAAGGTCAGGGTTTCAAGATGGGGTTTCAGAGCATACGGCTGAGGTTGCCTCCTGGTACTGATGGTTCTTTCCGAGTTTTCCTAGCAGAGCTGCTTGTCTTTCTCTGCTCCGAGCTGTGGTGTCTCTGCTCAGTCCAGATTTCTATGTCAGTGAGGAATTGTTGAAGCTACAAATATGTGTGTATATTTTTACATGTGAAAATACTTTGCTCTTTGCTATGGAAGCTTTAAAGCAGCAACAACAGTATTTGTAACAGCATCATCTGCCTCTGAATTTCTTCTTGTTGTGTACTTTGGCTTTGGAATTGCAAACAAGAAATAATTTCTAATCGTTACTCTGCTGTATTTTTACAACTGCTAACAAATACAGTAAGAATCTGCTATGTAGACTGTCCCGTTTTTAAAAAAACACTTCATTTCTATTGCTGTAAAAATTCAGGCTTTATAAAAATAAATGCATTTATATATCGTTGCTAATCTGTATAGGCTGCAACTCATCTATGCAGCTGCTTGTATCAATGATAGATTGACATTTTGTGGGCTCAAGTGTATTTTTTAATGCTTAGAAGCTTTCAATTGCATTAAATGAATATCTTAGAATTTCAAATGTGTTGCTCGCTGTAACTTTCAGCCTCTGCCTTGGTAATGAAGGTGCCTTTATTCATTTGGTGTGAGTACATTGCCACTGCAGCTGTCACTGCGCTGGGAGCTCTGGTCTGCTCAGCTCTGGTAGATTGAAGTGCTGTCCTTCCCTCCTGACAGATGCTGCCTGCAAGAACCGTCCCCTCGACCTCGTCTTCATCATCGACAGCTCCCGCAGCGTCCGACCTGAAGAGTTTGAGAAAGTGAAAGTCTTTTTGTCAGAAATGATCGATACTCTGGACGTTGGTGAAAGAACAACTCGTGTGGCAGTCATGAATTACGCCAGCACCGTCAAGGTAGAGTTTCCCCTCCGGACCTACTTTGATAAAGCCTCCATGAAGGAGGCCGTGTCTCGCATTCAGCCCCTGTCTGCTGGCACCATGACCGGCCTCGCCATCCAAGCTGCCATGGACGAAGTCTTCACTGAGGAAATGGGTACCCGGCCAGCCAACTTCAACATCCCCAAGGTGGTCATCGTTGTGACGGACGGCCGGCCGCAAGACCAGGTTGAAAATGTGGCAGCAAACGCCCGCACGGCTGGCATTGAGATCTACGCGGTGGGGGTGGGCCGTGCTGACATGCAGTCCCTGCGGATAATGGCCAGCGAGCCGCTGGATGAACACGTCTTTTATGTGGAGACCTACGGTGTGATCGAGAAGCTGACAGCCAAGTTCCGAGAGACCTTCTGTGGTAAGGTGGTCAGGCCAGGACAGTAGCGTAATTTGGCTCCTTTTGGCTCCTGCTGTGGTTCCACAACCTAAGAAAGAAGTTTTTGAGCAGTGTTCTGTATCGCATTTACGTATTTCCTTCGCCATTGGTTGGGCAAACAAACCAACCCTTCTATTCAGTTGAGGCCAAGTAACGACCTTTCATTTTGAATAGCAACCTCACCGTGCGAGGAACAGGACTGATGTCGTGTTTCCATGTTCCTCCCCCTCTTGATTTTGATGCAGAAATGCTTCAGCAGCACTTGGGGCTGGATGCATATATGGCTTGGGGTAGATACTAGTAATGCCAGGGCAGGGTGGGCTGCTACCATCATTGACAGAAGTCTGTGGTGTATCTGGAGTGCTTAGGATTGCCTAAAAGCAACCTTGCCACGGAAAAAAAAGAGACTTTTTGTTAAATAAAAAGGCATGCACGTAGTAGATTTTTCAAGTAAGATTCAGAGGAAATGCCTTGTAAAATAAGTTTCCAACAAGAAATGGATTAGATCAGGTGTAAACAATATTGTGAGAGAATTAACATAGCAGCCATTGCTTTAGGAACTCGGCTGATGAGAATGTGTTACTTCATTACTTCACAGCCCTATTAAAAATGCCCATCGTATCTTTTGAATACATTTAGAGTGAATAGACTTCTTTCTCTAGATATAAAATGAATGTGTGGGACCATCTGTAGGCAGGACACTTTGCCCAGTAATTAATATAGGAAATGCTTGAGGTTTGGCTTGACATTGTGCTGTGTTGCTGCTGTGACCACATCCTCTCCCTAACAGCTAGAAGATACAAGCTTCCCCCTGGCTGGGCAGGTACGAGTGCTGTGAAAATAGCATTAATTTTCCACCTATGGCCTAGCCAAAGTGAGGCTTTTCATAGCACCAAAGAAAAAATTCTTGTTCTGAAAATTACCATTTATTGTGCTGAGGTACAGCAGTTATGCTTCTGCTAAGCTGGAGGGCTTACCGAAGAGAGCTGACTCGTTTATACTCTCAGAGTAACTCTGAGTTTCTTGTATAAAGTTAGCCAGGCTCTTTAAGACTTATGAATGAGACTGGGGTAAAGGGAACAACTTTTCAAACGGTTCTTATAAGCCAAGTGAATTGAAGACAGTCTTGTAAGACAGTGTGGGTAAATTGGGTCTTTTCCAACTGCACGCTGTTTTTTTGGACAGCCAGAAATTTGGACTCACCAGTGACAATTAGGAGGTCCTTTGCATTGGCCAAGCCAAACAAGATTGTTTGTGGGGTGAACTGGGAACAAGAAAAGTAATGTTCAGGGGTGAAACACTTGGCCAGATTCAGGTCCTTGATGCACTGAGAGCATCATTCAGCATGAGACCATCCCGAAGATGGAAAATCTCCTTGAGTTGGTGTCAAGGTCAGTGGAAACTTGCCTTTCCTGCCACAAAAATCTGGCCGTTTGAATCTGAGCTTCTCAGTTGTGTTTGAAAATATCACCCACAGATTTTGTTCCTAAGTCACTGAGATGGATTCTCTTATTCCCAAGGTCATAACTGAAAAGACACTGGCTTAGTTTGAGATAGTGTTTGCCAAGGGAAAGACAAGGCACACTTTCAATCAGCCTTATTAGGGGACACCTACATTTTCCACATTTAATGTTAACTCACCTTAGATGAGACAATTCAAGCATTCTCACTGATTTTCTTCCCCTCTTTTCCATCACCTGTTTTTTTTTTTCTGCTCCTGCTCTCTCTTCTTCCCCTTTTCATCTAATCTACATACAGTCATTTAAAGATCATTTAAAGTCATTTGAAGTGAATATCTAGCCTTCCTATGCAGGGCAGCATTGCATGGACACTTTTTATCCCTGATAGAGGTGCTGTTCTCCTAGCACCTCTGAATTACTTTCCTGTTCTTCCTACTCTTGATGCTCTTTCTATTGTAATTTAATTTGTTTTACTGTGCTGTCACATTTCATTTTACATGAGAGGTTTTTTTTTTGGAAGCATCAGGTTCTGTGCCACTAAGTGGAGCTTCGCAAGCTAGCCAGAAGGTCTTTCTTATTGCTGAGTTCCTATGCCCGGTGTAATTAAAGGCTACTTTAATAGATGAAGCTCATGGAGACATGGGTGTATTTTCTGTGAGTTACTGTAATTGTTTCTAATAAAAAAATTGCTTTAGATGTCAACTCTCGAAGTGAGAATTCACCCGTAGCCTTCCCCCTTGGTTCCAAAACCCATGTTCCAAAATGCTCAAAACCTCTCTCTCCCATCCTTTTGCAGATCAGCCTGTCTTTTTCGTGGGGAGCTACTTTGGTGTCATTCACAACCTCTTTCTGAAAGGCTATAAAATGTTGTGAATGATGCCTGTAACTGTTGTGATGGTGATTCAGCGCTGAGATTTCTCACTACTAATCGGGCAAAGAGTACAAAACCTGAAACACTTTCATAGGCATAAAATGTCAGTGAGTGTTTCTTTCCCCTGAGATGACTGAAATGCTTTTTCTGAAAATGCCCTCTGTAGCTGCAAATACGTGTGCACTTGGGACCCACGACTGTGAGCAGCTCTGCGTGAGTAACGGCGGATCCTACCTCTGTGATTGCTATGAAGGCTACACTCTGAATCCGGATAAGAGAACGTGCTCAGGTATTACTCCTTTGCTAAAAGTACTATTCTTGCCATTTCTGAGATGATTCCAAATAGAAACCTATTAAAAAATGTTCTTTTTGCAGCTGTGGATGTGTGTGCACCTGGGAGGCATGAGTGTGATCAGATCTGTGTGAGTAACAACGGGTCCTATGTCTGTGAATGCTTTGAAGGCTACACCCTGAATCCAGATAAGAAGACTTGCTCAGGTAGGAATTAAAGGCTATGTTTGTATATGGAACTCAACAATAAATGAGCATATCTTCTTCATTGTTTCTGGCTGAAAAATTGCTTGGAGATATCAACTCTTGAAGCCCTTCCTCTTGGTTCCAATATCAATAGAACTGCACTTTTCTTTAGAACTCTCAATTGAAAAAAATATATATATTTCATCACTTACTTACCACTGCACTGTCTTCATGGTACTTCCTAAACATTGCCCTTGGGAGATGGGGAACCTATATCAGACATGTTGACCAGCACTGTGTCTCCACTCCAGTGTGAGTGCCCCTGCTTGGATATTAGGAGAAAATTCTTCTCCAAAAGAAGGTTATGCATCGTCACAGGCTGTCTGGGGGTGTGCAGCTCACTGTCTCTGGAGGTGTTCAAGAAGCGTGGAGATGTGGCAGTGAGGACCATGGTTAGTGAGCATGGTGGGGGTGGGTGGTCTGTTGGACACGGTGATCTTAGCAGTCTCTTCCAACCTTTATGATTCTGTATAGGACTTAAACCCTGTCCATTTTTCCATAACCCCTCCATCTCCCTGTCAAAATTCAGGTGTTTTTTTTTTAATTTTTTTTTAAAAGCTTGCTGTTGATAGGCTATGCAGTGCTCCACAGCATAGCAACTCCAGTCTTATACTAAAAGCAGCTTCTTCCTTTCCTACTCTTCGAATTTTCACCCTGAAAAGTTAGCCTATTAGGAAAACTTTTTTCCCCAAATATTTTTCTGGAGTTGTCACAGAATCATAGAATCACAGATTGGCTCAGGTTGGAAGGGACCTCACTGATCATGAAGCTCCAACCCGCCTGCCGCAGGCAGGGCCACCAACCTCCCCATTTCATAGCAGCCCAGGCTGCCCAGGGCCCCATCCAACCTGGCCTTGAACACCTCCAGGGATGGACGGGGCATCCATAACCTCTCTGGGCAGCTGTTCCAGCACCTCACCACTCTCTGTGTAAAGAACTTCCCCCTGACATCCAACCTAAATCTTCCGTTCTTCAACCAAAAACCATTTCCCCTTCTCCTCCTATTATCTACCCTTTGAAAGAGTTGAAGAGTTGAAGAGTTGTTCCTTTGGATCCAGAAGTTTTGAGCCTGGTAAGTGCCTCCCTCCCTCGGTGAGTGAAAAATCACTCTTTCTCACTTAACAGCAACATGGCTCATCTCAGTACGGCGCTTTAGCTTCATCCATCACAGGGCTGTTCAGGGCAGTCAAAACTGCAAGTGAAAATCAGACTGTGTGAAATGTGGTGCAGCAATCTTGGAGCTCAGATATGTGCCTCCTGCATTAAATAATTAGGAACTGAGTTCAGTTATCTGTAGCATTATAAAAGAATGTGGTAGGTAGGGTGCTGATTGAACCCTGATTAAGTTATATTTATAAATGTTCAAGTATTTACGATGCTTGAGTGTCTGGGAAGGATTAATTGCTTTCTCCTCTAAAACATGGTCCACGGCAGCCATGGATATGTGTGCACCTGGAAGGCATGACTGTGCCCAAGTCTGTCGGAGAAACGGTGGATCCTACAGCTGTGACTGCTTTGAGGGATTCACTCTGAATCCAGATAAGAAGACTTGCTCAGGTAAGACTTGGCCAAGGAAAAACTGTGTTCAGCTAAAATCACATACTCTTCTAAGGTTAATTTACATTATTTTTCTGATAGTAATTCAGGAGTTGCTGTACAACTCCTAAGAGCACAGTACAAGTTCAGGTTTTTTCCTTCATATTTACAGTAATAATTTGAGACTTTTGAATCTTCTACAGTTGTGGGAGGCTTGCAATTGCTGTAATTATTGCTGTATTTCCCTGGGGGCTTCTCAGTATTTTCACACTTTTGGGGCATGAGTTGCCATATCCACCTGAACAGCAGAGAAGGATGGTATATTTGGTAGGAATATGTGATACACACTACCCGTGAGGTAACTCTTCAGCAAACCAGTATAATGAAGCTGTAGGAATGAGATGAAGAAGAGCAAGGACTGTGCTCAGGACAGACGAGAGTCCGTACCTCTTCCTGATGGATGTGTTTGGACCTTAAAAAAATACTCCAGCCTTAAAGCTACAGGGGCTGGAGAGAAATGGTCTTTCTCAGTGCTGGTCTCTTGCAGAGAATAGGAGCATAGATCTTGTTGGTACATGTAGAAATACATAGTACATACAGACGAATGTGTACTCTGTGTCATTTTCACTCCATTAGGGTTTAAACTTCACTTTTCATTTCCTTACATGTCTCAATGATGATTTATTGATGTAAAAATCCTATTTTTTACTTCTGTCATAGTCTCTTTCCTTACCATAGTTGCTGTGACAAATCCATGTTTACAATCCCAGGAAATTCCTAGGGAAATCTCTCCGATTAATTCAAAGCTCTCACATCTCAAAGAAGCAAACTCCTTAATACTTCTTCCTGCGTAGTTCAGGAACAGATTTTGTAAATACAGTTCTAAAGATTAACTCTCAACTGGTATTATATAGAGGCAGTAAACATCCATGAGGAAACATGAATGTAGAGAGGCATCCATTTTGTGAGTCCAGTCCTGAATCTCCTTTCATAGCAGTGATTATCCCCGTGCAGACTCAAATTTCAGAGTATTTGTCCAATGTATTTGCTTTTTTCATTCTTTTCCCTCTTCAGTCTCATTTTGCAGCAAGCTGCTTGTGATTTCTCAACTCTCCGAGTCTTTCTGATATAATAAAAATAGCATAGATCCAGGAGGGGCTCTTTCATTGCTCCTTTGCTTGTTTTCTTGCTGTCTCTACTTCTTTCTTTCTGTCTTCAGTTACTTTTGCCTTACAGAGCCTCCTTACTGCTGAGATATCCAAATATAGGAACTCCTCAACTTGCTCTTTTGGAGTTGACGTGTTAAATTTGGCAGAAGACATTTTCCTCACACATAAAGTACCCACTTCGTGACTGGCAGCAGTTGCCACGTCTTTCTTTTTTTGAGCAGCCTTGAATACTGTCCTGATTATGGTCTTTTCACTCCATAAAACAGCATCTTATCTAATTAGAGCTGACTTAATGCCAAATGCTCTCTTAAAATCCAGATATTTGTTCTCTGAAATTCCTTTGGATCATTATTTTGTAACTGGGTCACTGCTAGTTCAGTTCCTTTCACAATCTGTCACAATGAAAGAAAAGTGTTGCCGGAGTTCCCAAGGTCGTATTAACTTTGTGATGCTGACAGATAAAAACACACTCTGTGTGCCTTACTGTGGCTAATAGCCTGTGGATGTGCAATAAAAACATGCTGGTTTGAATCCAAATGTGAGTATGGTGGCAAGAGGGAATTGCTAATGCCAAATACACAGTCTGAAGTTGGGATATCTTTTAATGTTCTTCTCCGGTGTCTTTCTTAGCTGTTGACATGTGTGCACCTGGAAGGCATGACTGCGAGCAGGTCTGTGTGAGAGATGATCTGTTCTACACATGCGACTGCTATCAAGGCTACGTCCTGAACCCAGACAAGAAGACTTGCTCAAGTAAGGCCAGATTGCTGTCTCCTGTCCCTCTCCCCACCTAATCACTGAAGTGCTATAAGACAGCTCTATGTCACTCTGCCCTCTCCTCTTTCAGCATTTGGATATATGAAGTGCTTCATGCCTAGCAGCACTCGTAGCCTGACGTTTCACCCTTCTTTATCACTCTGTAGTCAGCAAACCCTGTTTGCAGAGCCTCTGCAGAATTTGATGTGAAATCATAAGTTGGACTGGAAGGGACCTCAAGTGGTACCTTGTCTGATCTACAGCTGCTCAGAGCACAAATAATTAGACATTGCATGAAGCAGCTAAAGATCTATGTAAGAACAAAGTCCAAAAGAGGTGGATATAGCCAAAGACTATCTGCAAAAACAGTAGTTTTTTGTAGGTCTGGACTTAAAACATAATTACAGTGTAAGAACACCACCCTAGCATGCTTTGTATGATTTGTTGCGCATCCCATGAGCAGCAGAATTGCACAGTATTTTGAATAGCAAATGCTGGAAGACTCTGACCTTCACAGAAGCTCTGCAGAGAAGTTTAGGATACTCTTGGACAGTTGTCATTTGGAAAAGTAATTTGGTTAAAACAGACATAATCCAAAAAGGATCTGTATTTGCCACTGGAGAATTCAAATGCAAACACACAAGCTTCACTGGCAGTCAATGGGAAACCAACCATGCTGGTGTGATATTTTGAACTGGCTTTCCTCCAGCCAAATTCTGAACAGCTCTTCTTTGTAACACTGGCCATAAGGCTGGCAGGAGGTTCCAAAAAATGGGAGCTGAGCAAATACATGTTCAGTGGAATCAAGGAGACACCAGTTTCAACACTGGCTCTAAGGTACAAATGATTTTCTGCACTGCTGGAAATGAATCTGTTTGCAGAGTTTTTTTTTTTTTTTTTTTTGAGTGAAATATTGAAAGAACAAACTTTTGAAAATCAGTATTTCAGTCATTTTCTGTAAGTCAAGCAGCCATCAGTTTCCTTGCAAAATGGAAATATCAGTGGCATGGTAAAAACAGAAACCAAAATAATTTAAGAAAGAAGAGAAATTGTATCCAGGTACAATATTTCTATTGTTTTATTGCTAAAATGCTCTCATCATTTGTTTAGCATTGATTAGCTTTGCACTTATAAATCTGGAAAAAAAAAATCATTTGAATAATCTACTGTCAGTGCCTTTGCAAGCTGTTGTGGTTCAAGGTGGCAGGTGGCTGAGCACCCATACTGTTGTTCACTTGCTTCCCTCCCTCCCTGCTGGAATGGGGGGAGAGAATTGAAAAGAACAAAGTACAACTTTGTTCTACATGTTAACGTGCTACAAATGTTACAAAATAATGTCCATCCCTTACTGATAGTTCATGTTGACATTGATGAAGTCACTGAGAGAAGCCTGAGAGACTTCAGGGAACTGGGGTGGTTAGTGCTGTAGGAGTACAGGGGGTGTTTTTCTCTATCTCTTTGGTGACAGGGAGGGATATTGAGAGCTCCAGGAAAAGCCATCTGATAAATACATGGCCGAGAGGCTGGTTGGAACCAGGCAGGGGGTGATAGCAAAACTGCCCTCAACAAGGTGCAGGATGGCATAGCTAAGTTAAGGGACAGGGTTCTAGCAGGAGCCTTCAACCTGCTGCGTCTTATGACTATGAAGGCAACAGAGAGACTAAAAGTAAATACTTGAAAGGATTTAAGGAGTTATCCACTAAGAAGGCGACAAGGCCGGCTGCTCAACTGAACTGCCTCTACAGCAATGCCTGCAGCTTTGGAAATAAACAAGAGGAGTTTGAAGTCCCCGTACCACTGGAAAAACACAATGTAGTTGCCATTACTGAAACCTGGTGGGGTGTTCCCACGACTGGAATGTGGCTGTCGATAGCTACAAGCTGTTCAGAAAGGACAGGCAAGGAAGGAAGGGAGGAGGCAATGCCCTCTACATCAAGGAAGGAATTGAGAGTGAAGAGCTGTTCCTGAAGAATGGCCATGAGCAAGTTGAAAGCCTGGGGGTGAGTCAGAGACCAAGGCAACAAAGGGAGCCTTGTGGCTGGGGTCTACTACAGGCTGTCTGATCAAGCAGAGCCTGTTGATTAAGGTTTCTTCCTACAGATACAGGAGGAATCACAATTGCAGGCTCTCATCGTGATTGGTGACATCAGGACTGGAGGCTGCCTGGGCTGTAGTGACCATGCAGTGATGGAATGCACACTTAAGGAATATCAGACATAAAAAGAAGTAAAATCAGGAAGCTTAATTTTAGGAAAGCCTACTTCCAGCTCTTCTGGGAGATAGTCAGCAAAATCCTCTAGGAATCTGTCCTCCAGGACAAATTATCACATATCTGAGCCTTTTGTTTGTGAACATCCATGTTTTGTGGTAGATTATGTTAAAAAAAGAATTCTTAAGGACAGCTGAGGCCCTGGTCCTCAGTAAGCTTGAGGGCAAGACCTTGGAACAGATTAAGTCGAATCACTGCAAAATATGGCAGTGTTTGCTTTGTCTTTCCTAAGAGGCTGATTACCTTTCCTCCATATTAACTGCTCAGCTTTCCTACTGGATTTTAAATTCATTTGGACTGATTGGGACCCTTCATACATATTTATGTGACATTGAGTGGACTGATGTTCACATCTCTTGAGAAATGAAGGGTGATGCTCCCCATGCATGCGTACTGCCAATGTTAAAAGCATACCTGTGGGGTGAAACATGATGGCTTAGCTGAACCTCTGCTGCTTGCTTTTTAACATTATTGAACGTGTTCCTCATATTTTGTATTATTTACAAAGTGGCAAAATGAATAATTTTAATTCTGTATCACGCTAGATACTTAAGTATCTAAATTCCACCCGTATCTCATAAACCAACCCAAGCCAATTGATTTCTGACACTGATAATTCTTTATGTACTCAAAATCACTACCTGCCTTTCTGCTTGGCTGCAAAACTCCCTGGAGAATTAACTTTGCCTGTTTATGCACTCTAAGAAATCCCTATACCTGTGTGTCATAGACACCCCAAATGGCATTGTGTTCCAGGTTTGACAGGTAGCAACCCAGGTTCTGAAGCAAAACCCAAAAAGTTAGTCATAGCCTACAATATAGCTGAGTTAATAGAAGGTGATTCTAGTAGCCTTCCTGCATGGATGGTCGAAGTGCTTCTTACAAGATGGAATCTGAACTGCAGGTTCTTAGTCTGTAGCACTTGAGCATCCTCATCCCATTTCCCAGTGTGCCCTAACTTTTGGGGCAGGGGATATTCTGGATGAGAGGGAAGATTGGTCTAGTGACTATAGTTGATGGGAGGAGGCTGGTTGGTCCTTGCCCCCAGGGTAGGGCGTCTGTGCTTTACTCAATAATAGTCTGATTTGTAGAGCTCAAGAGGATCTGCTCAGGCAGGCCAGCTCCCAGCTCTGCCTCCTTTTCAGTCAGAGCTGAGCTCTCTCTTGCTTGCCCTGCTGCTGGAGTTGGGACACGTGTGCTACAAGATGACCTCCGTCTACGTCACCTCTTCCTCCCCCCTGCCGTGGGCTGCAGTCTGACAGTCTGCAGTCTGACAGTCTCTGTGCCTTTTCCTGGCTTATAAATATTTTCATCAGTATTTTAAATGCTGTTTTCTCTCTTAGAAGCCACAACAAGCAGTCTTGTAACAAATGAAGAGGCCTGTAAGTGTGAAGCCATAGCTGCACTGCAGGATTCAGTCACCTCACGCCTGGAAGCTCTGTCCACAAAACATATCCTTTTTCTTACGTGTTCAGCTCTTTACTGCTGTTTCAAAGGTAGCTGTTTTGGTGGAAGCTGGGGGTTACACACCTCACAAACAAAAGCATTTTCTTGACTGTACAAATGTTAGGGAGTGAAATCATGGGTGTTGCAAATACTGTTCTGTTTTCACATTTCCTTGAAGGGTTTTCCTAACAGGTTGCAGATAAAATGCACAATCCCCATCACCTGGACTATATTCATTATGTTGGACATCAAATGTTGTTCTATTTGTAATTCTTCAAGGTGACATTGACAGCAAATGCTCACATTAGAGCTTTTCTATTAGTAGCTTGTGTATGTCCCAACATTTCTAAGGGCCCTTCAGAGGCAGCATGGCTGCAGTCTGACCAGCTGTGGCTTCCAAGCTGGCATACAAGCTTTTTTATATAAAAAACAAACAAACAAACAAACAAACCTACTAACTTGTTAATACTCAACTGCTGTGAGATATTAGGGATCTGTTGGACAGAGTGGGAGGGCTGTGAGGCAGGCTGAGCACCCAGGCTGCAAGGTTTACTGGCTCCATTCACTGCAGCAGCAGAGAAGAGAAAGGTGCCTGGCTCCCAGGTCAGACATTTCACAGACACGTGGGAGGAAAAATGAAAGTGGTGAATTCTGTGGTGTGGTGGCAAACCTGAATGCTGGAATAAATGTCCTCAGATGGAATGACAAGAACTACTGACGGGAAGTTGGACAAGCTGTAATTCAGCAGAAGGCACAGTTTTTAAAAGTGAGAGTGGTTGATGGCAGTGACAGTTTACCAAAGGTTGTGGTATGTTTGCAGCACTGGAAACTTCTGAGACTGCATGCTTGTTTTTCTGTGAAAGGTGCTCTTGTTCCAATAGGAATTAATGCAGGGCAGGGCCAGGCCTGCGGTTGTCATTGTGATAACTAGGGATTCAGAATCAATGAAGAGGGGGATACGTTGGATTAGTCAAAGCAGGATGCTGTCAAGTTTTCTATATTGACATTTGTACAGATAAATGAAGTCTGCTACCAAGGACGCCAGACTTTCCAGGCTCTTTAATAAATTCAAAGTTATTTTTATAGGTTTAAGTGTAAATCCTTCTTTTAGGGTCTCTAGAACTGAGTTCATCTGCTTTGGAAAGGTGAAGGGAAGAATCTGATTTTCCTTAGATTAAAATACGAGAGCTGCTCCAAAAGTAATGCCTCCTATTTTACGATGTCGGCCTGTGACATCTGAGGCAGATGTTGTTGGGATGACTGTAGAGTTTCAACCTTCTCAATGTTGTGTTCTGTTGCCATGTAACAGATGGCTGCAGAGGGGCTATCTGACAAAATGACATCTGACATGGAAGTGCATACGTAGCAAAGGTGTGCCATTGAGTTCCTCCATGTTCAAAAAATGGCACCCAGTGACATTCATCAGCGCTTGCTGAATCTTTCTGGGGACCAAGCAGTGGATGTGGGCACAGTGAGGCAGTGGATGGTGCATTTCAGCAGTGGTGAAAGCGGCAGTGTGTTACTTGTGCTGGTGTGGATTTTTATGACCTTGGCATATGCAGACTTTTGTTCATAACTGGCAAAAATGGCTAGGGGAGGTGACTACACTGAAAAATAGAGCTTTTAGCTGAGAGTGTGCTGTATCAAATGGTGTTACTGTGCTGTTTGTACCGGTTGTTGTTTTCATGGAAATAAATAGGAGGCATTATTTTTGGAGTAACTTAGATATATCATTCCAGGAATGTAAGCAGTTAAAACTGAGTGCTGAGATAATTAAGCCTATACTGTAATCTCAATAGTAATAGAGTATTTATCTCAAAAGCACTGATATGAAACAAGACGGTGGTGGTTTCAAGTTAGGAATACACTTCATTACAAATAACCAATGCTTTCTTTCAAAGTAATTCTTTTCTGAGCAATCTGTATCCTTTGCACCCTCTCTGAACAAGCTGGAAAAAGCAGTGGAGATTATCATCTGCTGCTCCTCAGATCTGAATGTCACTTGCTCCAACTCCTTAGTACAGGAAATTTGCTAAGTTACTAGATCTTAACAGGTCTCTAAAACATCTTGAAATCTCTAGTTCAAGCACTTATTAAGCTCACTTAAAAAGCAACGTATCTGTGTGAAATGCAGTAATGAGAAAGATTATAAATAAACCAAACCTGGTAGCTATTTATTTTATCACCCTTAACATCTGACCACTAGATGAAGTGTCTCAGAAGCTGCAAGCCTATCAAGGCACACAGCAGGTTGTCTGAGGCAGCGTTCTACTCGCCTTCAAAATGATCTTTCATAAGCAATTCTTTTTATTGTGTTCAGCAAGCTTTATTTTGTTGCGCAGCTTACAGAAAAGCAGTTGGTCGTTGTTATTGGCAAGTGTTAAGAAGACTTCAGGAAGACAGCAGTCTTGAAAGTACAGTGACCCTGAGGATCTTCATGTACATTTCATTTTGTAACCATAAAGCCAACTGTACCTGCTTTGGTCTGTACTGCAAGGAGTACAGCAGGTATTTCTGTGCTGCAGTAACTGCATTTTTATTGTCTTATTTAAAAGCAGTACAGGAAAAAAAAAAGTACGGGTACAGTATTCACTCATATAAAGATGTGAAATGGCAAGGCAGAGTAAAAGTGTGCCCATGGAATCCGTCCATTAAAAGGGAAAGTAATTTGGGGTCTTGTAACTTATTTTGATAAAATAAAGTATGAACAAGCACACTGATGTTGGAAGTGTTTTTTTTTAATGCGTATTAAAGTGTGTGTGTTACAAAATAGTTTAACAAAGACCAGGAAACAAAACCTTGAAGAGGCACTGAATCACAGAACTCTGCATCATTAAACAGGACACGGCTGCTGAGTCGCACAGATGGAAAAAGAACAGTTTGATTTTGACACCTATGACTCCTTGCTGGTGTCTGTTGAAGACTAACAGTCATTTCAAGGTTCTGCACTTGGAAAGACAAAATATTAGCTCCATTTCAAGGTTTTTTATATTGTAAGAGTTATGGAAGCAATCAATCTCTGCTTTTGTCACTCCAAAATCTCTCCCAGGACAACTGGTCTCAGTTGGGCACACAAAGTTGGGCAACAAACCTTGCTGTGTCAAAGGAAACCCACTCATTCTGCATACTTGCCTCTGCAATCATGCAAATGGTTTTAAAACTATATTTAAATTACACAAAGTATTAAATTGGTAGATGGTATGCCAAGGGCATGCTGTAACAACACTGATGCTCATGTCACACCCTGAGCTTAGTAGATAGAGACAATTTCAAGGAAAGTCAGAGGACAGGAGTTCACTTAGACAGTATGTATGATTTTTGAGTGAATGCTGTTGAACAGAGGTTCACCCCATTAATGGCAACAGTAAAATGGAAGAGTGAAAAGCTGAAGATCTTTCAGTAGGATGAAAACACTGTATGCTTCATTCTATTCTCTCACGTACTCGTGTTCTGAAGTTGTAAAATGGAACAAAAAGCTATATATATGAGTGAGCCTTCAGGTATGTCTGTCCAGTAATGTTAAGTTGGCATGAAATTCTGAATGATGAACAGGGGACACAGCTTCAGCAAGAACTGAAAATGAGTCTGCAAACTCTCCCAGGCTGCTGGATTGGTGTGTCAGCATTATGCTGTGAAGTGCCTCCACCCGTTTGCTGCCTTTCAGCTACAGTTGGCATGGGATAACCTCACTATTTCAGCTGCTTCCTCAAAGTACTGTGCATGCTTTTTTTTTTCCCCTGTAACTCACGGAGTTTTATATCCAGCTCTTTACTCTTATGTCCTTGGGTTGAACATGGGTATTACATAAGGATTTATGGGAGCAGGGTACGCCACAGCCTCTGTAATTAGAAAAAATAAACAAGTTGTAAATCTAGTGAAAGACTTCTCAGGTTCCTGGCAGCTGGGAGCAAATTACGGTAATCCCACTTACACTAGGCCTGGTTGTCAGATGAGATGTATAATTTCATATGATAGTGGAAAATTGTCCTGGAGGCCAGATCTGCCTTGCAAGCTGTCAGCTGGACAAGCTTTGTTTCATGTGCTAGCATTCATAATGCCGTTCTACCTTTATTCTACCTCATTACCATTGCTACCAAAGCTACTAAACCATACCTCACAGCTCCTCATTTAGATGCCTCTTGAACACTGCCAGGGACAGCAACTCCACCACCTCCCTGGGCAGCCATTCCGTGCCTGACCACTCTCTGAGAGAAAAAGTTCTTCCTCATGTCCAACCTAAACCTCCTCTGGTACAACTTGTGGCCATTTCCCTGGGTCCTGTTTGTTGCCTGGGAGAAGAAGCCAAAACTCTCTTCACCACAGCCTCCCTTCAGGAGGTTGTAGAGTGCAGTGAGGTCTCCCTGAGCCTCCTCTTCTCCAGGCTGAACAATCCCAGCTCCCTCAGCCGCTCCTCACAAGCCCTGTGCTCCAGACCCCTCACCAGTTTCGTTGCCCTTCTCTGGACACGTTCCAGGCCCTCAATGTCTTTCCTGTAGTGAGGGGCCCAAAACTGAACACAGTACTCGAGGTGCGGCCTCACCAGTGCTGAGTACAGGGGGATGATCACCTCCCTGCTCCTGCTGGCCACACTGTTTCTAATGCAGACCAGAATGCCATTGGCCCTCTTGGCCACCTGGGCACACTGTTGGCTCATGTTCAGCCCAGTATCAACCAACACCCCCAGGTCCCTTTCCTCTTCACACTCATCCAGCCACTCGTCCCCAAGGACGAGTGCAGGACCTGGCACTTGGCCTTGTTGAACCTCATCCCATTCACCTCAGCCCAGCGATCCAGCCTGTCTAAATCCCTCTGAAGGGCTTCCCTACCCTCAGGCAGATCAACACCACCTCCCAGCTTGATGTCATCTGCAAACTTACTGAGTAATGATAGTATCTAACATTTAATTCCTCTGAGCAATTATCTTGTCTCACTCTGTAAGCACTGGATAAAAATCCAAGGTGATATAAGCAATTAAAAAAACAAAACAAAACAAAACAAAAAAAAAAACAAGATATAAGAGCATGTCAAATTGAGTGAATTTCTAAAACTTATTCATTTTAAATACATATGCTCTTGTATGGATGAGTAAACATATTATTTCAATTATTGAGACAATATAACTTCAGTGAAGAGAACTGTTACAAAAAATAACTAAGCAGGATTTTTTGAGTGATATTTTCAAATTATTATAATTCCACTTACTAACTTATGTCTGGCCCTCTTGTTCAGCTCTAAGATGCTGTAGTTCATCACACATAGGAGTTGAGCCAACTTTGCTTTATAATTCTTACGTTTGTGCTCCTAAATCAGCATTAGTTAAAAAGTTGGATGTCCAGCACTTGAAGTTACATACAAAGTGTACCTTCAATTAAATGATCTGATGATAACCAGTGGTTAGTTCTATCTCTACGTTTTCAGATAGCCTCTCAGAAGAGGGATATGGCATTGAACTTGACAAGATGCAGGTGTGAGTACTTCATCACAATCCTCCTTTATGGAAGACAATGAACAAAATGTTCCTATTTTGGTGTTCAGGGGTGCTAGCTGGCAACTAGCCAGCACAGTGCTGAGGTGACAAGAAGGCCAATGGCATTCTGGCTTGTATCAGAAACATGTAATCAGCAGGACTAGGGAGGTGACAATTCCCCTGTACGTAGTACTGGTGAGGCCGCACTTTCAGTGCTGTGTTCAGTTTTGAGCCCCTCACTACATTGAAGCCCTGGAGCGTGTCCAGAGAAGAGTAATGAAGCTGTGAAGGGTCTGGAGCATAAGTCCTTTGAGGTGCAGCTGAAGGAACTGGGATTGTTCATCCTGAAGAAGAGGCTCAAGGTGATACCCTGGAGATAGATGGCACTTGCATTGCATGAAGTGGATGAGTATTCAGAGCAGGATGCAGAAAACACGACACTGATAGCTTACTGTCCACTCCTATGCTTTTTTTTAGGTCCATCACCTAAAGGGCAGCTTTGGCATGTAAGAGGTGCATTTCATAGTGGTGTCTTCAGTTGGCCACAGGCTGCTTCTGGAGCCCTCTGCAACAGTGGCAGGGACAAGGGCCTGGGCCTCATCCTACTGCTGCTGAGGCACTGTGCATATAACCAGCACCATCTCTCTCTGAAGAAAGGGACAAGGAGCAAGGAGGACCTGGGTAACTACAGGCTGGTGAGTCTCACCTCTGTGCCTGGGAAGATCATGGAACAGATCATCCTGGATGACATGCTTGATCACATGAGGAATGAGAGTGTGATCCAAGACAGCCAGCATGGCTTCACCAGGGGAAGGTCATGCTTGACCAATCTGGTGGCCTTCTATGATGGAGTGATGGCATCGGTGGACAAGGGAAAGGTGACCGATGTCATTTACCTGGATTTGAGCAAGGCCTTTGACACCATCCCCCACCACATCCTTATCTCCAAATTGGAGGGATGTGGATTTGATGGGTGGACCACTTGATGGATAAGAAACTGGTTGGAAGGCCGCAGACAGTGGTCATCACTGGCTCTGTGTCCAGGTAGAGGCCGGTAATGAGGGGTCTGTTTTGGGACCTGTGCACTCTGACATCTTTATCAATGACATCGATGACAGAATCGAGTGCACCCTCAGCAAGTTTGCTGACAACACCAAACTGAGTGGTGTGGTTAACATGGTAGAAGGAAGGGATGCCATTCAGAGGGACCTTGAGAGGCTGGAAAGGTGGGCCCGAGTGAACCTGATGAGGTTCAACATGGCAAAGTGCAGAGTTTTGCACTTGGGCTGGAGGAATCCCAGGCATCCATACAGGCTGGAAGGAGCGGTCCTTGAGAGCAGGCCTGCAGAGAAGGAGCTGGGGGTCCTGATGGATGAAAAACTGAACATGAGCCAGCAGTGTGCCTCTGCAGCTCAAAAAGCAAATGGTATCCTGGGCTCCATCAAAAGAGGGGTGGCCAGCAGGGACAGGGAGGTGATTGTCCTCCTCTACTCTGCTCTTGTGAGGCCCCATCTGGAGTACTGCATCCAGGTCTGGAGCCCCCAGTACAAAAAAGACAGGGAGCTGTTGGAGAGGGTCCAGAGGAGGGCCACGAAGAAGATCAGAGGACTGGAGCACCTCCCCTATGAAGACAGGCTGAGGGAGCTGGGCTTGTTCAGCCTGGAGAAAAGAAGGCTGCGGGGTGACCTCATTGCAGCCTTTCATTACCTAAAGGGAGCCTATAAACAAACAGGAGGGAAATCAACTCTTTGAAAGGGTTGACAACTGCAGGACAAGGGCAAATGGTTTTAGGTTGAGGGAGGGAAGATTTAGGTTGGATGTCAGAGAGAAGTTCTTTACAGAGAGTGGTGAGGTGCTGGAACAGGCAGCCCAGAGACGTTATGGATGCCCCATCCCTGGAGGTGTTCAAGGCTAGGTTGGATGGGGCCCTGGGCAGCCTGGCCTAGTATTAAATGGGGAGATTGGTGGCCATGCGTGTGGCACGGGAATGGCAGATTCATGATCCTTGAGGTCCCTTCCAACCCTGTCCATTCTGTGATTCTTTGATTGCGAAGGGCTCCCTTACACCTTTAACACACTGAGTGCAGGTACCAGCCCAGGTAAATTGTGAGTGTCCAACACAGCCTGTGAATGAGCATAATTGTGTCTAATGCCTGCTGCCCTCCATCGTTTACCCCAGCCAACAGTGGGCAATTCTGGGGTAATTCTCTCTATAAAAATATGATGTGGGATTCACACACTTTTTGATTTTCCTTTATGTGAAAGCGGAATGGTCTTTATTAATTAAAGAGGTACGAGCAGGATCGTTTCGTAGCCACTGAGCACACACTGAGCTGCCAATCCCCCACCCTCAGCCCCGTCGCCATGTCCGGGGTGGGAGGGGGAGAGGAGAAAGGGGGGAAGGAGGAGGGGGCGGGCCGCTGCTGCCCGGAAGTAGAAGGTAAGCGCCAAGAGTGCGCTTCCGGCGGCGGTTGCCAGGGCAACGAAGGAGGTTAGCGCTGTGGCGCCGTGCCGCGCCTCCTGTCCCAGGATGTTCATCTACCTGTGCAAGAAGGTGCTGCCGGCGTACCGAGGGGCGGCGGGCGGCTCGCGGGGTGGGGGGCGGAATTGCAGAGAGCGGCGGCTCGGGGGGCCTTGACGGATCGTCGTGGGGTTCGTTCGGCTGTTCTCCCAGCGGCCGTGCCCAGCGCTGAGCAGCCGAGCGGGATTAGATATTAGGCAGAAATTCTGTACTGTGAGGGTGATGAGACGCTGGAATGGGCTGTCCAGTGAGGCTGTGGATGTCCTCTTCCTGCAAGCATTCAAAGCCAGGCTGGATGGGGCTGTGAGCAGCCTGGGCTAGAGGGAGATGGCCCTGCCTATGGCAGGGGTTGGAACTGCGTGATCTCAGTGGTCCCTTCCACCCCAAACTGTTCCATGATTATACATTAGATGCACTGTGTTCCCCTTTTCTAAAGTTTTGAGCCGTGTTTTACTTCTGTATATAATTCTGTTTAAATTCTAAATTTATAAATCCGCTACGAGGATTTTGAAGCATTCTTAGAATATTCTGACATTAAAAAAAAAAAAAAAAAAAGGTTCTTTGGTACTACGTAGGGATAAAAAAATGTTTTGTTTTCAGATTGCAATTCCTGGCAACGTCCGATTAAGATGTATTTCCTGGAACAAGGAAGAAGGCTTCATAGCCTGTGGTGGAGAGGATGGATTATTGAAAGTTTTAAGATTAGAATCACAGACAGGTAATTCACACTTAAAAAAGAAAAATCTTTCTTTAAAGAGCAGAACGCACTGCACTTCAAAGTTCTGAAAGCACAACTCTCTCCAGAAGTTACTTGACAATACTGCATATGTTTTAAATCTGTTATAGATGGTTATATATTTGCATAAGCATCAGAAGCACTGCTGTTTTCCACTGTTCTCCTTTGGCTTGCCTTACCTGGCATACTTGTTATTTATTGAGCTTTACACTCACTGAACTTCCAGTGCATCTTTTTTCTGGGCATAACGTTCATTTTTGTTATTTTTATATAGACGTTTTTATATACACATGGCTCTGGTCTGCTGCACATAGCAGGGGGTTGAAACTAGATGATCATTGTGGTCCTTTTCAACCCAGGCCATTCTATGATTCTGTGATTTATTTGTTTTGAAATGAATGTCATTATTTCTTGTTTATTTTTAAATATTGTTATTCTAGCAAGAAAGTTGCATATTTCCTTGAAGTAAGTTAAACATGTTCAGAGAGAAGTGAAATCTGATGTATTCTCCAGTTCTTTTAAACCTGTTTCTGGTGTGATAGCCATAGATTTTACTTTGTTTTGTTTTGTTTTCCTAGAAGTTGTTCAAGTGTAATGATCAATCTGGATTTGGATGACAAACATGTTGAACTGAGGGGTGGAAAATCCATCCTACAGATATGCCTTTATAATTTAATTTATATAAATGGTCATTAGTGTTGAAGTACTGTTACATACAGTAATAACCTTACTTTGTTAGGTTTATTTTATAGTTATTTTTGTTATTTTTAGATGAAGCAAAAATAAAGGGTCTTGCAGCTCCTAGCAATCTTTCTATGAATCAAACTCTTGAAGGCCATAGTGGTAAGTCATGGGCATTTTGTGTTTTTTTTTAAATTATAATTAAAAATACAGGATTTGGGGAAATGTATAGAGTATTTTTTCTCAAAGCTTTAATTAAAAGTGTAAAATAAAGATATCAGTATTATAATCAGGTATGTGACAGCTTGGCTGCCTATTTCCTGTTGAGGTACCTGATGAAATAAATACCTAAAGTTAATCCTTCATGATCTGTGAATGAATTACTGGGTTGAGAATCAAACTGATCTGTCATCCCTGTTCTTCTGGCTGGTGTGCTGTGCATGATATAGAATGCATGCTGCACAAACCAAGCCTAAGTCTAATACTTAAAGTTTGCTTATGAGTTTTTCATGCTTAGGTCTGCGTACTTTGACCTTACAGCCTAATTTTTTATTGCTTCAGTTTTGACTTGTTCTAAAATCCTCAGTCTCTGTTCATTATTCAGGAAAAGGTGTTTAGATTTATTTTGAAGTGGAGGATGCTGCTTGTTATGGTAGCTTAATGTTTTCTGAAGAAGTCACAGTTAGTTTAGCAAATTCATCTTTCTCTTAAATATTTATCTTCCTTTCACGTTTGTTGACAAATCATAGAGTGTTTGTTGGCTGATAGACTGAGTTCAGAGAGGTTAGAAAACAGGTTGCAGGAGGATAGAGTGCTTGAAAGTAAAAACTGAATGCAGGGAAATTAGGGAGGAATTGGAATCTCTCATGATAAACAGCCATTATCTATGGACAGTGTGATAAGATGGGGGTGCTGAAATCCTTAGATGAAGAAATGACCTTTTTATGAAGATTTGCATTTGCAGCTTGATAGCAGGTTACTTTAGGGGCCTAATTATGATAAAAAGGTTAATTTTGAAGAATTTATTTAGTGGTATTTTAAATGGGTATCTGTGATTCTGAAATAGGTTACATTTACCCCATTCAGTGTATCTTTGATTGTCGGTAAAGCTTATGACTGAAGTAAAGAGAAATGGAAAGGATAAAGAGGAACTGGATAACCACTGGTGAAGAACTGAATTATTGTGATGCTTGAAGTGATCAAATTCACATCCAGTATTAGACTGATAGGAACTAATCGTCGAAATTGTTCGAAGGTGTTTCAAATCAAATTAAATGTTTGCAGGAAGGATCCTCTTGAGACTTGAAGGTTTGAAGTAGTGAGGAGAATGTGCTTTTTGATAAGCAGGAGAGATGTTTGGTTTTAAACCTACGGCACTACTGAGGATCAAACTATTTCTACGAAGAAGAAAAAGAAAAGAGCACCAAGAAACTTTCTTAGGACAATAAAGTTTTGTCAAATATGTCTGAGACAGTCAGAAACCACCAGAAACTACGATTTGTTTTTGCATACTGAAACAATATTCTGGGTATAATTTGGAGAAGGAGTTGCTGAGATGGGTGAATAAAGGAGCGAAGGGAGGCATTTAGCAGAGTTTTGAAAGAGGAAAGGAATGGTACAGAAAGAATGTCTGAAATGAAATCCAAGTTGACAGTACAAATTTCTGTTAGCTCCAGGGCAATCAGTTTGTATGTCATGCTTTCCCTTAACTTCTTTAAATGGCATAAACACAAAAAGTGTATGATTTTCTAGGTTCGGTGCAGGTGGTGACGTGGAATGAACAGTACCACAAATTAACAACCAGTGATCAAAACGGGCTCATCATTGTGTGGATCATATATAAAGGTACTCTGCAGACAGCTTTGAGACTGGATAATAATCCATACGGTGGGAGATCTTTGCTGGTGATTTTAATAAATCTTTTTCAGGCTTCTGAAAAAGTCAAAATAGGCTTAAAACATTTTTCAAGTTTTTATTGTAATTGTCTGAATTTTTGTAGCGCCGCTTATGAAAAGGTGTTTGTCCTGCAGAGTTGTCTAAGGAAAAGATAGCAAGTTTTAGCCTTGTGCTTGGTAAACCACTACAAATGTCTTATTTTAAATGTCTTTTTCTTTATTTCCTTGGACAAAAACAGCGTACTGAACAATAAAAAAGCACGAGTGATCTCCTTTAGCTTAACGGCTGTTTACAAAGGTGGATAGCGATAGGACAAGGGGGAATGGTCTTAAACTGAGACAGGGGAGGTTCAGGTTAGATATTAGGAGGAAGTTTTTCACACAGAGGGTGGTGAGGCATTGGAACAGGTTGCCCAAGGAGGCTGTGGATGCCCCATCCCTGGAGGCATTCAAGGCCAGGCTGGATGTGGCTCTGGGCAGCCTGGTCTGGCGGTTGGTGACTCCTGAACAGAGCAGGGGATTGGAATCAGATGATCATTGTGGTCCTTTTCAACCCAGGCCGTTCTATGATTCTATGGTTCCTGTCTGGGAGAAGAATCTGTAAGTTACTTAGTACTTATTTTTATCAGTGGCAGTTTTTTCTTCTGTTTATTTCCCTGTGTGTTTTGGTCTTTTTTGAAATTATGTAAGCATAGATTTCTTCCTATCAGGCCCCTCCCAAACTTTGGCTTCCCTTTCTTATTTCTTACTTGTTCCTATTTTTTTGGGAATAAGAAAAGCACACCAAAGCACTGGGTTTCACACAGTGGTATAGTCTTTCTGAAGTTCCACAAAAACTTTGGAACAATGTTCTCTTTAATTTCTTTCCAAAACAGACTATTTCTGCAGCTCTTTATTGCATTTCAGAGTCATTAACTTGTATCCCATTTTTGTTTAAAGCAGACACTTCAAATGCTTTTCCATTTCATTGAATTTGTTGGTAATTTTTATAAACTCTTATGTTTCTGTATTATGTTGTATTTGTTTTTAGCAGCTTCTTGAAATTATATTGCTAAGAAATGTGATTAGCATCTCATTGGTATCCTATATGTATATCTTTTAATTGAGGGTTGTTTTATTCTTTAAATTTGGTGATTAGTCTTGAATCAGCAAGAGGATTATCAAATCAGAAGTAAACCTCAATTTTTTATTCACTGCTAATAGGTGCTTGGTATGAAGAGATGATAAACAACAGAAATAAATCTGTTGTTCGAAGCATGAGCTGGAATGCTGATGGACAGAAGATTTGTATTGTGTATGAAGACGGAGCTGTGATTGTTGGATCTGTAGATGGTAAAAGCTTTGCTGATTTTGTCTTGTTAGATAGCTTTCATTTTCCAGAAGTTGGTTCATAGCAACTCTTTCTCTATATAAATACAATTAATAGTTACTTTAGAAGTTGTTGCTTATATTCTTTTGCAGCTTTAGTTTTTGTATGGGATTGCATCCTTCCTTTAGTTTGTGGTATGTTTATTAAGGACAGTCAATGCTCTGTTACAGGCAATCGCATTTGGGGTAAAGATTTGAAAGGTACACACCTGTGCCATGTAGCCTGGTCCTCTGATAGCAAAGTCTTGCTCTTTGGAATGGCAAATGGAGAAATCCACATTTATGACAGTAATGGAAACTTCATTGTAAGTCCATGCTCGTTATCATAAATTATTAACTGTAATATGCATAAAAGTGTATTTCCTTTGTAGGTTATTTCATACTTATTTAGTTGGAAGAGGTCAGTTAGGGCAAGGTTTCCTGTGTAACATTTTTATGCAGATTAAGATTTATTCAGTTGCAATTTTATAATGAAAGTAACAACCAAAAGTTTTGTTTTTTGCAAAGTTCTATTGTGGTAGTGAGTGCCTTTTGTGCGTATCTGTTTATTTGCTGGGATACTTTTGAAAGAATTAAAATGCCAGAACTGAAATACTTCTTTGTAATTACAAGATGTGTTCTCATGTCTGATCCAGCATTGAATGAAGAGTTCAATTTAAGAGTTTCAAACTCTTAAATTTTGTATGCCAGCTTTTTCCTTGGCTCAGGAGAACAGTTTTGCATGTATATATCTGATCTCTTGCAAGCTCTTTGTGTAGATATAAATTGTTCCTCTACACAGAGTGTTATACCTGACTTTCAGTACTTAACCACTCTTGTCTAGGTGAAAATGAAGCTGAGCTGTTTGGTGAACTTAACAGGAACTTTCCACATTGCTGGAATACATTGGTACCATGGTGCAGAAGGCTACGTTGAACCAGATTGTCCTTGTCTTGCTGTCTGTTATGAGAATGGAAGATGCCAGATAATGAGAGATGAGAATGATCACAGTAAGCACAGAATGTGGGATGCTAATTACTGAGCTTTTATTGACCTAAAACTCCTACTAATCTTTAAATTTTCAATATGTATTTCTCCAAACCCAGATCCTGTTCTGATTGATACTGGTATGAATGTAGTGTGTATTCAGTGGAACCATTGTGGAAGCGTGTTGGCACTGGCAGGCTCCCTAAAAGGAACATCTCCAGATAAAGATGTGAATGTTGTGCAGTTCTACACTCCATTTGGTGAGGTAAAAATATTGAATACACTAATGAAACCTTCATTTTCTTTATTTTAGCATGTTTTTTCTTTTTCCTGTGAGGGTTTCCCAAGGCTCCACCCAACCTGGCCTTGAACGCCTCCAGGGATGGGACATCCCCAGCTTCTCTGTGCAGCTGTGCCAGGGCCTCACCGCTCTCTGAGTAAAGAATTTCTCATCAATTTTGAGAATGCTTAGGCAGCAGTGAAGATGCTAACTTAATGTGCATGTGTGGAATCTGGACTTACTAGTCTTTCTCCACTGTGTCAGACCTAGGGATCTCCAGATCTCTAGAAACGGGTGTTTGAGACTGTATAGCTAGAGTTTAAAGCCAACAGTCAGTCTGGGTTTTAGATTGGTTTTGTGCTGGCTGTGATAGTCAAGTTGTGGGTTAACGTTTTGGAAGATGGTGTCTTCTGTGAATAGGGTGTAACCAGGATTGGATTTACAGTTTGCTGTAGTGTCTGGTCAGACACATGAATTAGGTACTAAATTATGTAGGCTTATTGGCAGCAGTTCCTTTAGGCATGAAGTCTTACCTTCAGAAGAAGGGCTAGATCTAAGCATGAGTATCAGTGCTCTGCTCCCTAAAGAGGTGTATTTTATTTAAGCTAAGGATTACACTAAGGAGTAGAGGTGTCCTTTATTACATCCATCCATATACTTTGCAACCAAGAAGTTTCCCTCAAACAAATGGTCTGTGGGACAATGGTTATCTTTTTCAGAAACATTAGTTTTTATTTAATTCATTGTTCAACTTAAGGTGCTATAGAAAAGGGAAGTTTGTTAGCTCTTAGATTAGAGATGCGTGTCTAAATACTTAGGCTTTTTGGAAGGGGAGGGAGATATAGAGACAAAGAAAATGTCCATTGCCTCACTGCAAATTGTGTACTGATCAGCTGATTCAGTATATGACATAGCTTTGACATAGCTTTAATGAATAAAAATATCTCCCTAACCTATCAGGTTAGTTAAAGGTCAGCTGACTAATATAATTCATACACTTACTGTCAGTGAAACTTGAGTCATGTCAGTTATCAGCACCGTTTGGATATGAGGAAAAACTTCTTTACAGAAAGGGTTGTTAAGCACTGGAATGGGCTGCCCAGGGAGGTGGTTGAGTCACCATTCCTGGATGTGTTTAAAAACCATCTGGATGTGGTGCTCAGGGACGTGGTTTGGAGTTAGGGTGGTATGCTTAGGCTGTGGCTGGACTTGACGACCTTTGATGATCATCCAACCTGAGCAATTCTGTCAATAGTAACTGAAATAGTAAAGGTGATTCAGATTACCATATGAAAGAAAAAATAGTTATGCTGTCATTCTCTATTGTTTATTTTTTTCCAGTTGTTAAAAATGTAGTATCTAAGTGAAATATTTCCCTTTCTGAAGAGGCAAAAAGAAAATTAAAAAAATGAGGTGTGGTTTATTGTAATACTTATCAAATTGTCAAACCTCATTAGCATGTGTGTGCTAATTTGTGAATTATTATGGGCTACTCTAGAGAAGATGTGCAAGCCTGTATTTCATCAACCAGCAGCATTGTTGTTATGTATTTTAGGGCAGTCTTCTTATGATATTCAGTGTTATTTTTCTTTTCCTGTTTTGAAACAAGCACTTACGCACGCTGAAAGTTCCTGGCAAGCAGATATCAGCTTTATCTTGGGAGGGAGGTGGACTGAAAATTGCACTAGCTGTTGATTCTTACATATATTTTGCAAACATTCGGCCAGATTACAAGGTAAGTGGTTATGTGGCACTTAATTTGACTAGCACATTTAGTTGAAAGAAGAAGATGGTGCTTAAATAGAGGATAAAAGGATAGTTAGGCGATAAATGGATTTTGAAGCTAATTGGAGAGGAGAATTTATTCATGGAAAGTGGAAAATATGGTAGGTTTTTTTTATACTGACAATTTTTCTTTTCATTGGGCAAGGAATAGTTTTTTACATCCTGTAAAAACCGTAAGAGAGAGACCCAAATTATGGTATTATGGACTCTTTTTTATGTACTTATTTGTTTTTTTAACTTTGAGATTAGTTTCTACGGGCTTCACAAACAGAAGCGTTAGTAGTGCACAGGAGCATCCTATTGCAGTCACCAGTTGTGATCTCATTGCTGAGCTCTCTCTTGAATTGCTTAGCAGCTTTCCACAGACAAAGCTTGGATACAGACCTAGGTAATGATGAGAGCATTCTATGAGCAATACATTTTATTTCCACTGCTAAGCAGTCCAACACTGAAACTGTGAGAGACCAAGGTTTGAAGAGCAGAAGTCTCGTGGTTGTGTCATGGGTTCACTTTCACTCTTTCCTTTTGGAGTTGTTCCATGGCTTGGTTGGGTCAGTGTTTATTGAAGCATACTAAAAATACTTTGTACCAGCTCAGTGCCACAGTCAGCTATAGAGTCAGTCCTTATTTTCAGTTGTTTACACAAAACAGAATACCTTCAAATGAAAGATCTGAAAAATGTCAAACTTTGAGGAAAACAATCAAGCAAACCAAACTTGTAATTGTTTGGAATTTGGATTAAGACTCCACCAAAAATTAATGTGGGGTAGTATTGCTCATGCTCTTTTTCCTGTCTGTGATCAGTAACTCGTTCTAGATTTTGGATTTATTCAAATTGATATTTTAAGTGAAATTCCAATACAGAGCTTTCTGACCCAGTCATATCATGGCTGCATATTTTTTTAAAGCCCAATAAATAAACCAGTGCTTCATTTATGATTTCTATTTCATCGGTGCTATGACTTGAAGTTTTAGTGACAGGAATGTTTTTGTTGGTGATGGAATGACTTAGCAGTTGGTTTTTTTTAAATAATGAATTTGTGGTTTTATTTCATATCAAGGAAATGTATACTTGTTAATATTAACAGAAGTAGGCACGGTTCTGAATTTGGCAGTGATTGAGGCTGTCACTTAAGTAAGGCTCCAAGAAGGGCTTCACAGTTTTCGTTGTTGTTTGATTGAAGTGGATGAGAAGAGTGTTAAACTGGGAATTGTTTGAGCCTTTTTCTGTTACTTTGTTGTGGTGATTTAATAGAACCAGGCGAGTTAAACGCTGGAAATGGTGCAACCTGATAGATGTAATTCCTATTCATATTTTCATATTCATATTTTCAAGTTGCCAGTACGCTGCGTTTGTAAGCTATTTCTTTTTTTCCTCTCCCTATTAAAGTGAAAAAAGATGAGCTCAAATTATTTCTGTGGCAAATAACCTCTAACTTGTTAGTCTACTCAGTTTGTACTTGTTAGTATACTCAATTTCAACATGAAATATTTTTGTGGTGGATGATGTGTGTCATCCTCCAGTGAGCAGCGCCTTATCATCAGTATACTTTTATCTGGTTGTATTGATAACTTTATTTTAATAACTGGGTAATCTGAAAGGTAACAGATGTTAAATGACAGCGATTCAAAGCTGTCATGTATTCCAGCTGGATTGGAATGGACCTGGAGATGAAATGTTAGTATCCTATTACCTGTTTATGCATAATCCAAGTGTTTAGGTGTTGCCATAAGAAGAGAAAGTAGATTCTCAATTGATATAACAGTAGTTTCATTACATGTAAAATGTAAGAACCCTTCTGGGCAGCTCTCTAGCAGGTTTTCTTCATCCCTCTAGTAAGTGCTGGTTACTTAGAGTTCTGCTGACTTCTGCACAATGCCATCATCATCCATAAGTGATTCTCTGTGTCTTGTTTGCCTGTCAGCTTCACCTCCCTTCCAGATGTGTTTTCAGTTTCTGGTGTGTTGGAAAGGCTTTTTATTCACTTCTGTAATTTTGTTGAATTTTTGTAATGTTTGAATGTTCTATTTCACATTTTGCTTTTTTTCCACCTTATATGAATGTTTCTTCTGGGGGAACAGGAGGGCTTTTCTCATGTTATTAATACAGGAGAAAGGATAGAAGTTACTTCAGTGCTCTAACATAGTTGCTTATTTAGACTGCTTCAGGAAGTGCACTGTTTGAGGTGTTTATTATCTTCCATTGGGAAGTGAATGTTGTGTTGCCAAATTACTTGTCAAAGCAAGCATTTTCATGGTAAAAGCCGTCATCGCAGTGAGTATTTCTGTGCTCTCTGAACAAGAAGAAACGTGGAGTAAAGGTTTTTTTTCTCATTTTGAGAATAGTTCTCCAATTCTGATCAGGTCAGTTTCTGGTGATAGGAAGGCTTCTTTTTCCATGCTACTAGTATGCAAATAACGTATTGCCAGGGCTTTCTTCCCATTCTTTTTATAAACAAGTTCATCGCACGACAGGTAAAGAACATTAAATAGTGATTGTATTATGTACTGATATGAAGTGAACACATTCATGAAACAACGTATGTTGAATTAATCCCATTTCTTGTAGAATTGCTCAAAGTAATTTCTCTTGGCAGTGGGGTTACTGCTCCAACACGGTGGTTTATGCGTACACCCGACCTGACCGTCCTGAGTACTGTGTTGTGTTCTGGGACACAAAAAACAACGAGAAGTATGTGAAATATGTCAAGAGCCTGATTTCCATCACAACCTATGGAGATTTCTGTGTGTTAGCAACCAAAGCAGATGAAGATCAACCTCAGGTAGGGACTTCTTTGTAAATGTCGTTTGAAATACTGTGGTGTATGTGTCAGTGCTTTACAAATGAAATAAGATTAAACATCCTGAATCTTTTTCAGTGTGTGACAGGGTGAGGGGAAATGGCCTTATGTTGCACCAGGGTAAGTTTAGTTTGGGTATCAGGAAAAACCTCTTTACAGAAAGGGTTGTTAATCACTGGAATAGGCTGCCCAGGGAGGTGGTTGAGTCACCATCTCAGGATGTGTTTAAAAACCAGCTGGATGCGGTGCTCAGGGACGTGATTTAGCAGAGGGTTGTTGGAGTTCAGGTAGTATGGTTGAGTTGTGGTTGGACTCGATGATCTTTAAGGTCTTTTCCAACCTGAGCGATTCTATGATTCTGTGATTAACTGTCATTTGACAGAAGGGCATTGAACAGGCTCCATGTTTACATAAAATGAACCCAATGAAGCTAACAAGCCAAGAACCAAAGTGCTAGCTAAAATGTTCAGAACCTACCAACTGCCTTTACTTACAGCCACTAATAACTTCACAAAAGCCACAGACTTCAGGATTACTATTGCTTTGGACATATTTTTCCACAGCAGAACAAAAAGTAGGAGAAGACCAGAACATTAAGAGTTACTTGATCAGCTGGAAATGGAAAAATAGAATGTAAGAAAGGGACAGTTTTTGGATGGTACAAATGCCTGTTATTACAAAATTCTCTTTTTTTTAATTTAAGTGATAGTTTATATGATAGACAAATCCTTTGGTTAATATACATTCAGTTAACATTAATATTACTGTCACACAGCTTTTCTTACTGGATTCAGTTCTGAATTGTTTTCTGTATCACTTATGCATCGCTTACAAAGGAGGAGCATGAGATGGAGTCAATTGGTGCAACGGTAAAGATGTCTTAGTGCTGCTTTGTTGGAGTGTGCAGTAGATGGTGTGCTATGATATGATCTGAAAATGTGATACGTGTGAACAAAGGCATTTGGTGAAGTTGAGTATGAAGTAATGTGAATTTGGGTTGCATTTTTAAAATGTGAAGTAAAGAGAGGTGGGATGTAGTGTAACTTCCTGGAGTATAAATAAGAGATTGCGTTTATCACCTGAAAATTGTGGAATAGTAAGTTTCTTTCAATTCTTTCTGAGTGGCTTCAGTCTAATTATTAATGCTACGTGGGAGGCAGCTTTTAGGAACTGAAGTAAACAAGTTTATCCTTTTGGTAGCAGTTCATTCACTGCTTTCTGAAAAACACACCTATTCTGCAATAGATTTCAGGGGATGGAATTGTGATTTCAAGAGTACAAAATGGATAGCAGTAGCTGATGGGGCAAACAAGATGGATTTTGGCAGGAACTGTTGTACTGTGAGAGGAAGGCGGTATTAGTTATGAAGAACTCAGTTTTGATAACCACAGTGAACTTTCTGCTCAATGAAATGGGACAGTTTCATTGTCCTTGGTCCTAACCCACCACCTGTGTTGCTCATGCAGTCTGTCTTGGATACTGTCACTCCAGCACTCCTTGGTAGTCTCTGATAGACAGAGAGTCTCAGAAACAAGTAAAAAGGGCGTAAAGGAGAAATCAAATAGAGTGAGTGCTGAAGAAGAATTAATGTAGATATAACAGAAACAAACAGTATGCAGGTAGAAAGGTTAAAAAGGGCTCTGCAGGGGCCACATAAAGGGGAAAACTGGAAATGCTGGTGGAAAGTTTAACTTAACAAATAAATAAAAGTCATGCTTTTGAGGGGTTTTCTTTGATGACAGCATAAGAAAAAATATAACTCAGTGGGAAGAAATCCTTGTTCATATTGTTGTCTTTGAATGAACATAGTTCAGACAGTAGATGAAGCTCTAAATTCTATGCATTCTGCCATTCTCTTATTATTAAAAGCTATCAATCCATCAGTTCAAAGGAACAAGCTGTACAGCTGCAACGATCTGCTATCTCAATTACATGAATTGGTTGGGAAGTGAAAGAATTAATGAGCAACTAACAATCTTCCATTTCCTAAGGAATCAGGATGCCAGCTCTTGAGTGATTCAAGTCTACCAAAACTGTTCTTTCAGTCTAAAGAGCCTGCAGTGGAAATCACTAGTTAATTTTCACATTTCTTATTCAAAACATTCTCATTTCCCTGTGTAATCATGATAAAGCTATTTAATCCTTGGTTTACATCTAGAAAACTGTGTTGGCACTTGAAGGCAATCAATTAGATGTTGATATCTTTTTTTGTTTGTTTTAATCTTCCTGATTTATCTGTGCTGATTAAAGCTTTCCAAAGTAGAATTACAAGAAGGGCAAAACTAACAAAACCAGTTTGTTTTGTGGCATCTGTTAGAGTAGTGTGGAGGAATGGCCTCACTCCCAGTTCTCCCCTGAAGGTAGCCCTCAGGAGGTTCGTGATCAAGTAAGCTTTCCTAAGAGTAGAACAGAAGCCCATACATCTGGGAGTTAGGGGCCTGCTGCAGTTTATCACACTATCCTATGCATGAACAACTAGAGAAGAGTTGAGTTGCTGAGAAAATACTGGTGTGTCTGTCGTGCTGGTAAACAGTCAGAGTGCAGTCTGTGCTCTCCAAAGCTGAGGTGAGACTGGCCATCTCACCAGCATCTTATCTGTGGACCCCACTGGTGGTACATCCTACATCCTGTGTTCTGTCTGATAGATTTGATTATCTGCTTAAAACAGCTGATCACCTTCCTGTTTTGTGCTTGGCTTCATTTACAGTATTAATTGGCAAATCCCCCATTACAATCATGCTTAAATGTCTTTATATTTTCTGCAGCCATGGTGTTCCTGTTTTCTGTTGCTGTTCAGCGTTCGATTGCGTGAAATGTGGGCTGTGAGATATGCCTTCACTGAAAGCCTTGTGCAGCTTACTAACTTACAGAAAAACGTGGTATTAATAACACGTTTGTTTCCCTACAGTATGTGCTGGTTCTCTGCAATTCTATTGGCACTCCTTTGGACCCAAAATACATCGATATTGGTAAGCACCTTGTGGTTGTTTTGTTGTTCGGCCTTTTGATCGTAGTAGGAAATCAGCTGAGTCAAATAACATACTGCAATATTCATGTCCTATATTGCAGATTGTCATTAAAGTGTAGACTGTCCTGCTCTGATAAGTGACTTATTTGTCCTGTGGAATATGAAATATTGTGATACTTTTTAGCCTCATAATTTTTGTTCATCAGTTTGATGCTCTCTTGTCACATGTTGGAATCTTCAGGAATAAAAATGCCTGGGGAATTCAATACACAAATTTTGCAGTGGTTGTAGGGGGAAAAAAAGATAAATGGGTGAGCACTGAAGTCAGATTATGTGGTTTTGTGTAGGGGTTGTTATCCCTCCCTGCCTCTCCCATCCACCATCAGCTGTCTGCGTCACTTACTGTTTACCAGTATCCAGGACTTCACTTAATAGGTGGGACTGGGGTGGAAGGAGAAGGAGTCGGGGACTTATAGGCCACATTTCATCTCATTTCTACAGCTGGCATCTAAAATAAGTTCAGTGAATGATTCCTAGATGGGGCATATTTGCTCTGCGTTGGCTACAGAGAAGTCCAGGGCAACCAGCTTAAACGTGCTTGTCTCTGTCAGAGATGTCTGCAATTAGATGAGATGGATCCCGCTCAGACTGTCAAAATTAGCTTTGTGTGTACATCTCTAACTCTTCCTTTTAAAGTTTTTCCTTTTCATTTTCTAGTGTTCTGCTCGTAAGCTTTCTAAATCTGTCCATGATTGTTTATAATGTAATTAAAATCAAGGTAAGCAGTTTCTGTTTTCCCCCGGTACTGTCTCCCAGAACTGCCTCTGCAAAAGAAAAGAATCTTCTCCAATGACTAAAAGCAGTTAAAGAGAAATGCTGTTTAATTGAAGAGATGATGTTGTTATTGCAACTGCATTTGAGTTGTCCTAAAGAGGCGAAACAATATGTAAGAAACTTCTCTTTTTCCTTCAGTTTAAGTAAGTTTTCCATGATCTGCTTCGTCTCAGTGTCGGTTGATCGATGTGGTGCATAGGCTTACAATCTTCTTTGCAAGTGTGAATTCATGTGTGAAAATCTTAGATTTTTGAGCCTTCATCTTCATAGGAGGCCAAATATTTGAGGTTGGGGTTATTTGCATTCTTGAGTCCTGAAGAATTTTTGTAGTCTCAGTACTTCAAATGTAACAAACCAGTCTTTCATTAGTGTGTGAACACAGCCAAAGATACAACTTCTTTTTTTTAGATGTGACTCCTTTAAGACTCCTTTAAAGTTAGCTGACTTTAAAGATTGCAGGTGAGAGTGAGAACCCAGCCTCTGTACATGAAACATTTTTGGATTACATTGTGCAGGTTTTATCATAATTGCTTTCCTTTGTTGTAACCTTTGAAGATACAGCTTTATAGAATAAATTGAAATATTTCCTTGCACAAATTGATCTTATACTGTATAGATATTTGTATATAGTCAGGGTTTTTATATACAGCATATCATGCTGTTTATCACAGTTGGTGCTTACGGCAGGAGGAGGTACAGTTGTTTCAGTTTTACAGGTGCTCATCTTGCCTTGTTGAGGTCAGTAGAGAGGGGAGACCTTGTCAATCTTTAGAGGCTGTAATTTACATCTCTGTAAGTTCTTCTAGGATTCCAGTTGTTCATAATTTCTAATGAAATAATTATTTTGTCCTGCTTATAAATTAATTAGAATTTATTAATAGTTTACTCATTAATAGTTAAAGAAATAAACACTGTGTGAATAAAATTAACATTTCTTACCCAAGATAATTAGAAGGCTGTTTCTGGGTTGTGAAAACTATATTATCTCTCTATGGAATTCTTGTTTCGTTTCTTTTTAGAACAATTTTTCAGGCTGTTCTTTTTTAAATCAAGCTATAAAATTGCTACGTTGAGTTCAAAACAAAGAATATTTTCTGAAGCTTTATGTCAAACTTTTAATCAGTCTTCATACAAGGCAGTCACCTTATTTGATATTTCACAAATGCTCATGAAAAATGCCTTCTGATATAATAGGAAGTTCTGCAACAGACCAGCTGGTGTTACTGTGCTCCTGCCTCCTCTTAAGTGAGTGCTTTTGACTACCATGAGTCTGTGCTACATTTTTCTGAGTGACCTTGTCAGTTATTACAGACAGAACAGACAATAACTCTGCTTTTGCCGGAGTGCCTCTTGCTGGAGTAGCAAACACCTGGAGCCCTACAGAGCATAAACATTTGTTTTGTGAGTCTTTGGTATCCTGCAGGACTCCTGGGCTGCAGCCTGGCAGGAAATTGGTACTGAAGAAGAAAGATTTCTAATAAGGATGTTAAGTAGTCGACAGAGTGTTTCAATAATGCATCTGAGAATGTGTGTTAAAACACTATTTTTGTGCATTGTTAATTTTTATAACGGTTTATAAGATTATTTTTACAAAGCAATGCTAATCTTCTAATGACAAAGTAGCTGTGAAATCATGCAACGTTCCTTTCTTCCTCAAGAACTGCAAATCTTACGTTGTTTGGCTCTAAACCAGTAGCTTAAGATGAGTTCACAAAAAATACTGATGGTTCCCTTTATCCTATGGTTTTCAAATTATGTCATTAATGTCATTAAAGCTAATGTCAAACATTAGCTTTCTAATGTTTGCCTGCAGGCTCTGATGGATGGTTACACTTAAAGCTCTACCTAATTTTCCTCTTTTATTTTGTCTAATGCATCTTTTTCCTTTGTTTGCTGTGTTTATAGGGTCTTTCAGAGCAGCTAATGTTTGCTAGCCTTTAAATTGATTTTCTCTTTGTTGACTGGCATTATATCCCATCCTACCAAAAAATTAACCAACGTAGGCTTGCAGGCTTTCTGTCAAAGTCCTTTTGTGAGTAGCTAAATATAAATTACAGGTGGTTAAATACCTTCTTTTATAATATCTTTTTAATGGAAACACAACAGATGGTATCTGCTAAGGAAATATCACTCAGAGTGGGTTATATCATCTTACATGTGCATAGGAGCACTGACATTGTTACGTTACCATCTTTCACACGTACTCATGCCCAGTGTAATGCACAGAACGGCCTGATCAGCACACAGTGGAGAAGAGGCAGAGAGCTGACAGTCAGGACCGTGTTGTGACAAAGAAGTTCAGTGGGAAGGGACCTTCAGAGATCATCTGGTTCCGCTGCCTGACCACCTCAGGGCTGGCCAAAAGTTAAAGTATGTTGTTGAGAGCGTTGTCCAGCTGCCTCACTGCTGGGTGTGGGACATCAGCCATCTGTCTTGCCTCCCTCCTAACTTACCTTAATGGTGGCTGAAACAGCACTTGAATTGCTTCTAGTTACAACTGATTGTTTAAAAGTGAATTCCTTACTTTGCTGGACTGGAAGCTGTTCCATGTGCAGTTCAGCTGTCCCTGCTGTTGCCTGATGATTTTCTTCTCTTCGTGTTTGCTCTTCATGGAGCAAACATCTCCAGAGACATTTTAATCAAACTCTGGAGTTAGGTAGATGTTATTCTTTGGATTGAATTAGTTGTGCTGTCTCTGGATTTTGCAGATGTGAACAGGCTTATGTGAAAACAATTTACTCTTCTGTGTCAGATCGCTTCCTGTCCATCAGATTTAAGTGGGATTACTTGTCTCTTGTGATTCTGTATCCTATTTTAGACACTAAGAAGTGTCTCAGCTTTTTCATGTGGCAAAGTAATACAGTCATGGATCAAGTACCTTTTCTACCTACTGTTCTTTCAGAAGATTAGACATGAAAGCAGGTGTTTTCCGTTTCTAAAATACAAAGCTTCTTTCCTTCGGGGAGGAGGTATTATGATGAAACAGTGAAGAGGAGTGAGGAAGAGAAAGAAGGGCCAGAGCAAACTTAGAGTATCATCCTTTTATATGTTGCTGTTGTTTTAATGGCATAGCATGTTAAATACTTTTAAGTATATGATTACTGAAAAGCAAGGCACCTTTCAGAAAGCTTTTTGTACGTTTTCAAATTCCAAAAAATCAGGACCTTAATAATGAAATTAGCTGTCTTCAAAATCAATGGAAAGGGCTACAGAATTGAAGAAGTCTGCCCTTGGAGTGGAAAGCTGCTGTGTGGTAGAAATGCTGAGCAGAGGAGTATCCAATTATCTTGCCTGCTTCTGACTTAAGGTGCTTGCTTTTCTCTCAGTTTACAACTAAGAGTGCAAATTCTTTAGAGGGGTCTGATGCCTAAGTTCCGAAGGGTAAGTGCTGTTAAAATGTAATAGGAATAATAGTTAGGAAACTAAGTAGTTAGACTAACTGCCTAGAAAGGGATTCTAGATCTTCCTCAGCATGAGAGAACTGAAATAAGCATCTTTTCCTTCCCATGAAGGACATCCCCTTTTCTTTAGAAGCTGTGCTGTTTTGCAGCCAACATAGAAGTCATGTTAGGAGCAGTGTAGCCCAGTGGTTCAGCCCTGGAGTGGGAAGAGGGAGATCGATGTTTTTCTTCCTTACTCATAGACGTTTCTGCACGACTTGTTTGTTTGTTGTAGTCTTTGTTCAGTGACTGTCCAGTATAAAATGCTTAATCAATTCTAGAGAACTCCATCCATCTCACTTCTGTCCAGTTTTAGTTATGTAGCAATTGTGCAAAAAGGTCAGTTCCTATGTACAGATGCGTCTCTCCCAGATGTTTGTTTGAATCCATCTGATCCTGTTGACTCTCTGTGCTGTGTATAATGTTATCCCTCTCCATGTGTTTTCACATTTGACTTAAACCTAGCTCTAATTGCCCTGCTGTTGCAAAGAAGAGAAGGTCTCTGCCCCTTGTGTTAACTTCTCATTCCTGCTCTCTTTTATGTTAGCTCCGTCATTTGTGATTCTCTATTTAATCCAACTTAATCTTTTACTTCTTTAACTTTGGGATTAGTTTTCAGTCAGATCAAACAACAAACTGATCCAATTTATTCTGTGGCTAAGCTACTCCTAGAGCTGATTAAAAGTGGCAGGGAAGCGTGAGGGTTTGTTGGGAAGCAGCTCAGTTTTGGTTGTTATGACGGATAGAGCTGCAAGTTAATAAGAGAATTACAGCGAATATGCAGAATTTCTGAATTTGTTTATTGAACCTGAGACTGTATTCTTCAGGTGTGAGCACAAAACTAATCACTGAGCTGTGTTACAGGTAAATGAAATACACTGATTTCATGAAATGTAAACAACTGCTGTATCTGTGCTACTGCTCACACGTTAAGCATTGCCTCTCAGCCTTCTCATCCAGTACTGACATTTATACTAAAAAGCATTAAACAGCTGTTAGGTAGCTTATCAAAATCCTCTTGGTTTCAGAGAAATGAAGTCTGTTCAACCAGTCTTCCCCAGTCTGTCCATCATAGTGCCATTCTACCTTATGGCAGGCTTATAGCACCCCCCAGAGTTCCATCCTCTGCTAATATAAGGAAAAAGTGGAGAGATTCATTGCAAAAGAATTAGATTTTGTGCTTACACCATGTTGTCTGCAACACACTTCACTAACAGACAGGGCTGTAAAATGGAATTTGCTCAGCTTGTCTGGTGGCATATTGATTGAAGTGTCGAGTTTGAAGACATTGAGGGATTATTTATTAATTTCTGATTTTTTTTCCTATGTATTTTATGTGCTGATTCTTTATTTTTGATTTTCAGAACTCAAAAAAACGTGAAAGAAAAAGCCATGATAGAACTAAGACAGTGTAGTACAAAGAATAATGTGATGCCTTGAGTGCCTGTATCCACCAGACTTTGACAGCAGGAATGAGACATTGCCTTTCTGGTTTTAAGGATAAAGTAGAAAAGAACCTTGGCTTTCTCTCTGCAGTGATGTCTGGATACCTTTCAGTATCTGAAGGGGAGCTACAGGAAAGAATGGATCAGACTCTAGCAGATTCTGTGGTGATAGAACAAGGTGAAATGGCTTCAAGGTTAAAAAGGGCAGATTTAGGTTGGACATGAGGAAAAAATCTTTACAGGGAAAGTGATGAGGCACTGAAACAGGTTACCTGTCTTTATGATGGATGCCCCGTCCCTGGGGACATTCAGGGCAAGGCTGGTAAGGCCCGGGGCTGCCTGATCCTAGACTGCCTATGGTGTCTCTGCTCATTGCAGGGGAGTTGGACTCGCATTAAGGAAAAGGAAAAGTGCTGGAATAATGGGGAGAAAAATATTAATTATAAAAGCAGTGCCTTGAAAGAACTTCTGGAATTTATTAACTTATTTGCAATTAAGTAAATCTACTCTTTCTTTTTTCTTTTTTTTTGGTCTTTTATCCTATGGAGATACAATTTCACACATTTAGAAAAAAAAATCACAAGTTCCTACCTAGTCCAGTACCTGCTGCTCTAAGTTTACAACCGTTTGCATTTCATAACAGGGCCGTTGTTTGTCACAATGACCAGAACACACGTGGTAGCAGCTTCCAAAGAAGCGTTTTACATCTGGCAATATCGCATCGCCAAGAAGCTCACAGCAATGGAGATTAATCAGGTGGCACGGACCAGAAAAGAAGGCAGGGAAAGGTTTGTCTCCAGGCTTTTTCATGCTCTTTCTTTTGCGTAAATATGATTTTGATAAAAGTGGATTCTCCCACACCTAAAGAATGAACTCCTCATTATTGTTTTCCTACTCAAAATTGTTAAGTGTAGTTTTTCATGACAAATGCACAGCTATTATCCAGATCTCTTAGACTTTTTTTCCAATTAGTTTTCTGCTTACTGTCACTGCTACCTGTGAATGCCTCCTTTACAGAGCTGCATGTCTGATGCATATGGGTTTTTGTCTTCTCTGTACCCTTAATTTCTCAGCAATTATATTCACTCTGGTAACTTTAATCATTACTTCTGTGTCAGTGGCTGTTAGGGCATATTCTGTCCAGCTATTCTCTAAATAGAATTTTGCCCTACTGTGTCTTTGGCCTCTAATCCTGTATGGCCTGTTCTCAAACTAAACAAGGCAAAGTTGTTATCATCTGCCCATCCAAAATAATTACTTCATATAATAACTCTATGCTCATGTTATGTTAACTTAGTTACACTGACTTCCTCTTTCTAATGCTTTTACTTTTTAAGGCAGAAGAGTTCTGATAAAGTTTTGAATATAGCAATATGTAAGTTTTGTGGACGTGATAGTGACATTCTTCCTAAGTAATGGAAAAGAGCATGAGGAAAATATAGTATCTGAAAGGAGACACTGAGATGAGTGATCGTTTGCAGGATCTTGTTGCAGAATGAAGGACTGTAGATCATATGGAACTGACATTATGGGCCGTCGTGTAGTGAAGGTGAAAGCAAGTACCATGTTTGTATCAACTGAAAGCAGGGTTACTGGGGGAGCACTACTGGAACACAAGAACAGGCTTAGCTTTTATACTTTTTTTTCTGGTTACAGTGGTTCCTTCTCCAAGGTTTGATGATACCTGTATTCTAACAAAAATGACCCTTCTTTCTTCAGAGGCACTTTTTCTCCTTCCTTCTCCACAGGATTTATCATATTGATGACACTCCTTCAGGATCTGGAGATGGACACCTTGATTACAGTAAAGCTTTCGAAGTGAGCCTTGTTTTTAAATTGTTTATTATGGTATCACTGGTAGCTTGAAAGCAGTAGCTGGCATTGCTGTGTATATTTGCTTGGGTTTTTGTTAATGGGTCTTTTTATTTTCTTCTACATTTTGTACAAAAATGTTAGTGTTGCATCTGGTTAGTAAAATGTTATTGTATCACTATGTATTACTAGAAATGTACATCAAACTGTGTAAAATGCAGCGAAAAAGTGTATTGTGTATTCTGGAGAATTAATGGGCCCCAGAAGGAAACTCTTACTGTTACCATGTTTCCCATACCAAAGGCTACTGCTACCATAAACTCTCCATTTATTGTACAGTGAAAAAGCTTGATAGCCCCTTTTTGTGTAAACACTTGGCAGCATTCTTGGATATTTAAACATAACTCTTTTTTTTTTTTTTTTTCTGTAGAGGTTCACTCCTAGTGCAATATTAAACAAGTGTTGGTGTTGTTTGTATGCTTTCAGGGAACGAGAGATCCAATTTGTGCAATAACAGCATCTGATAAGATACTGCTTGTGGTAAGTTAGGGGGTTAAAACAACCTCTAGTTGCCACTTGCTCTTGTAGGTGGGACTCTTGTGCAGTTAAGTCACGACCAGTCATACTTAAAATGTTTTCCCGTGCTCCTACTCCAGTGATTTTTTTTTGTTTTGACATCTTTTGAATGGATTAGACAAAAACACTGAGACACAGGAAAGAAAACAGATGGAGAAAGTGGGAAAGTCATTAGTTGATGCAATAATGTGTGTTACAGTGGTCAAACCTTTCTAACTCTTCCAGCCAAATCTGCCTTTCAATTTATAGGGTGTACATATATGAAAAAAGTCAAAGATGTGAAAGGCAAGGAGGATCTTTCTAGGTGAATTGGATGGGGAAAAAAAAAAAAGGACAGGAATGATGTTTGGGCTGTTTGGGATGACAGACTGTCTTCCAAAGTAAGGCTTTAGCAGCAAGTAAAATAATCTGCCTGGGCTGTTCCACATGACTGTGTTTTAACATCTTATTTAAGCAGATCTTTAACAAGAAATTATTTTCTTGAAATAGCAGAATTAAGAACTCCAGAGTGATGACGTTGCCTCTTCCCACATTGGTTCAGCCACTCATCCAAGAGCTCTTCAGTCTAGAACAGCATATAAAAAAAACTGTGTTAAGCTGTTTATTCATAGAAAAATTCTTAAAAAATGCTTTTCTCTAGGGAAGGGAATCTGGCACTATTCACAGATACAGCCTTCCTAATGTCGGCTTAATTCAGAAGTATACCCTGAATTGTCGGGCACATCAGCTGTCTTTGAACTGCAACTCTAGGTAAGATACAGGTCTGCTTCTAACAAAGGCAAACAGTTTTAAACTAAACTACTGCATTTGGTGAAAACATTACTAATAATGCACTAACTTTACTTCAATATAAATTACTTAATTTATTGGCTATTAATGATTTCTTTATTTTTTACTGGTCAGTCTGCTGTAAGAGGCTGAGTTGGTAAAGCTTCATTGTGTACTGCACTCTTTAAGGTCTGTAAGGAAACGTACAAGGGAAAATTTCTGTTAAAAGATAAACCAAACAAGAGCTTCTTAAGGTCAGGAATTGATGAAAGTATGTCATAACATGAAACTTCATACCTCTGAGGTTTCTTTTTATTTTTTCTGTCCTCCTAATGCCTAGAAACCTTCTTTGTCCCGTGTTTGTTTTCCACTGTTGCAAACTGTAGTTGGTGGTAAAGCTCCTAGCAGGATTTCCTGCTAAAGCTTTTCTTAAGCCAATACTGAAGCTGCATTCTACTTGGTAGACAACCTTTAATGTTTAACAGTGCCTTTGGTTCCCCTTCCCCCGGGAGAATTAGAGGATCTTGACAGAAAAGGCAAAAATACACTAATGAGTGCTCATAAGACAATTTTAATCACTTCAAAAGAACTTTATAATTGCAAACAAAATTCGTAACAAAAGTGTAGATATCTTCATTTATAGACCAAAAATGGATTGATTCACTTAAAAAGCTACCGATGACCAAGCCAGATCTGCATTAGTTTTGTTTTGAACCCAAGCTGTTACCTTCCTAAATGGTTTTGTATTACTGGAAAATACTCAGATTCACAAGGTTTTCCAAGCTAATTGGATTGTTTTTGAAATTATAATGAAGATTAAGGTTGTCAAATACATTTCAATATTGAAAATTCTTAAAAAATGCTTTTAAAACAGCACTGCAGTAAATGACTGACAGTAAATAGAGGCTACTGTCATTCACTGATAATGTATGTAACTGTAAATTTTCAAATGTAACCCTTTAGAAATTGTATTTGACATCATTTAAAATATAGGGAAAAGATTAATTGGATTATATATACTATTATCTAGAAAAAAAAAAATCCTTAGTAGTAATAGAAATCCTGTTTCAGGGATGAACACTCTGGATCATTGCACTATATTTTTAATTTAGGAATCTGCCTCCTACTAAATAAAGAAAAGCATATATGTTAAATTCTTAATTTTAGGTTCTGCCAAGAAAATGGTGTAGTCAGAAGCTGAACCTGTGTTTTACTAAATTTTTTATCTGAAGTACGAAGCATCTTCAGAGTGCTGGATAAAAAACAGGCACAGGTCAGTACAGTCCAGGGCCAGATCCAGAAGGAGAAGATGAAGGCCTCTTTTCCATGTTTCTAGTCTCTCTCTGCTGTACAGATCAATGAAAATCACAGACATCTTGCTGAAACCTTGGAGTTGGTTTAGAGGGAAATTTGGCCTGAGTGTGCCAGCTCAGGAAACTTATTTCAGATGTACAGCTTTGAATAGTGTTACTTAGCTGTCCTTTTATTACTCCTTTGTTTTGTTTGTTTGTTTTTTCTCCCCTGTTCTGCAGCCGTGTTGCTATCATAGACCTTTCAGGTGTTTTGACTTTCTTTGACTTGGATGCACGAGTCGTAAGCAGTACTGGGCAGCAGGTGATTGGAGAGCAGCTCAAACTGGAACGCAAAGATGTCTGGGATATGAAATGGGCCAAAGATAATCCAGATTTGTTTGCAGTGATGGAGAAAACAAGAATGTATGTTTTCAGAAACTTGGATCCAGAGGTAAATGTAAACAAACGACTCAGTTTACGAGTTCACTCTAAGATAATGGCTCTGTGTTGAATAGAATTATTTTTATGCTTGCAGTTTAAGAAGTATTTTGATATCAATAAACTTCATATAAATCAATAACTGGACATCTCAACATCTCGTCAGTTCTGATGCTAGGGTCTTGTTTAAGATGAAATAAGTGTGAAATAAACTATCAGACCTGCAAAGATATTGCTTGCTATCCTTTTCTTCCTTACACAAATTATGCTCCTAAAAATAATAATATGCTTCAGAAGCAGGAAACCCAATTTTAATAAAGGTATTTGTAATGCGTGGTTTGGGCAAGTCCAGATGTTGTTCCTTTATCTTTTCGTCATAATCTGGTTATAAATACCAGGATTTTTAATTATGTCTGTGTATATGAGATTGTCACTAACACCAATGGTTTTATTTCCTGTTGGAAAAGCAGTCAAATCCGAGTTTGGACAAGGGGGAAGACTTTTTGCATACATTAAAAATTTGTTTAGAATGTAATTAGAATACAGGTTAATTCCCTTGTAACTGTTTTACTTTAAGGAACCTATACAAACTTCTGGATATATTTGCAACTTTGAAGATTTAGAAATCAAATCTGTTCTTCTGGATGAAATACTAAAGGTAAGTATAATGAGTTTTATTTAGTGGGAAGAGTTGGTGTCTAACTGATTTGAACAGTAGATGTCATTGATGGGTGAGAGTAAACATGACAGAATAAAAATGTTTTTCTCATTTTCTTATTATGTTAGAATCCTGAGCGCCCTAACAAAGATTACATCATCAATTTTGAGATTCGATCATTACGAGACAGTCGAGCACTGATTGAAGAAGTTGGAATTGAGGAATCTTCCCAGTTCATAGAAGATAATCCACATCCCAGACTTTGGTAAAATAAAATAAAGCCAACTTTCTTTGTTTAAATGTTTTCTTTCCTTTGTAGTCTTCTTTTTCAGACAGATCTAACTATCCACTAAGTGGAAAAAAAAAAACCCTCAAATTAAGAGCAGCCAATCAGCATACAATTTAATGAGAATCGTTATTTAAAAAAATAATAATAATAATGATAAGCAGTAGCAGTACTCTGCTGCAGTCTGAAGGGCTGCTGTTCTAAAAGGGAATGCTGTTACACTGAAGCTGAATCATCTACAAAGGGGTTTTATAGTGCTGATGTAAGACCTGAAGAGAGCCTTGCAGTCCCCCTGCAAGCCTGGCTCCCTGCCTCTTCTGGAATTGATGTGTTTTCAGGCTGTGTGGTATGTTTTCCTAGAAGGCAAGAAAGAGGTTTTTCCTCCTAAGCGTGCATAACTATACCATGGACCATTTAGGACAGGCTGTAAAGGAATGAAGTGAGAATGGGGAGGGTGCATCAATCATAATTTGTCATATCCTTTCAAAATGAAATAATCTGAGGAAGGTAACTTAGTTAAACAAGTTTAACAAGTTAAACTTGACTATTAAACTGAATTTAAATCCTGCACAGCAAACTTGTAAGAATAAACATGTGAAAACAGTTCTGGAAATCTAGCTAATGTCCCATATCTCAGGGATTGGAATAATAGAATCATTAAGGTTGGAAGAGACCTCTAAGATCACCTTGTCCAACCATAAACCCATCCCCACCATGCCCACTAACCATGTCCCTCAGTGCCACATCTCCGTGGTTCTTGGACGCCCCCAGGGACAGTGACACTTTCCTGAGCAGTCTGTTCCAGTGCCTCTCCATTCCTATGGAGAATAAATATTTTCTTATACCCAACCTGAACCTCCCCTGGTGCACCTGGAAGCTGTTATCTCTCATTCTATTGCTGTTACCTGGGAAAAGAGGCTGGCCCCCACCTTGCTTCAACCTCCTGTTAGGCAACTGTAGAGAGTAATAAGGTCTACCCCGAGCCTCCTCTTTTCCAGACTGAACAATCCCAGTTCCCTCAGCTTATTTGATGTATAGCTGCTTTTCTATGTGTTGCATTTGTTTTTCACACAGGCGTCTCCTGGCTGAAGCTGCCCTTCAGAAGCTAGATCTGCAGACTGCTGAACAAGCTTTTGTGCGCTGCAAGGATTATCAAGGTATCAGGTTTGTGAAGCGCCTAGGCAACCTGCAGAGCGAGTCAATGAAGCAGGCAGAAGTGGCAGCCTATTTCAGCAGATTTGAAGAAGCTGAAAGAATGTATCTGGATATGGACAGAAGGTAATTGCATGTGGTCATCTCAGCAGCAAATAAAGCAAAAAATGTCTTGGAAAACAAATACCCAGATAAGGAACGACTGGTTTAGCGTTGAGGACCAGTTGCTGGAAAGACAGAACAACATCAGATGGGAAGAACTTTGTTATATTGATATGTAAGCAATTCCTTGTGTGAACCAGAGCATTCCAAATCATCTGAAAATTCTGAGCTGCTCTAGGTAGTGCTGTTTTTTCTACATGTTTTTAGAAAATATTTTGTAGATGTTTCATCTGGGAATCCAAAAATACAAAAGTCTTACAACTAATATTTAATTTATGTATTGTTGCTCTCAGCTAGTTGCCAAGTAGCACTCTTTCGAATTACGTGTACAAACAGTGAAGTTTCTAATTAACGTTAATCTTAGGAGAGACAGAAAGGACTGTGGGCCAGTGGAATTTTTGCTGAGGAATGAAAAGAAGAACAAAACTAAATGACAGTATTACTGAAAATTATAAATTAATGCTGAGTAGCAAGGTTGAGCACTGTGTTCCTCATTGTCCTTTTTCTGTAATAGCAGCAGCTGTGTGATGCAGCCTGAAGGTGATGATCAGACATGAAGAGACACGTGAATCACTTAGAATCACCAAGGTTGGAAAAGGCCCACAGGGTCACCCAGTCCAACCATCCACTGATCACCAATAGTTCTCACTAAACCATGTCCCTCAACACAGTGTCCAAACTTCTGAACAGATGAAATGTTTAAGCTTTGATTAATGAAGTCATGAAAGAAAGGAAAGGGAATGTTGGAGGAAAATGTCATTCTTCTTTTATGATGTAAGAATGAGGAACATCCCTCTTCCCCAGTATGAAATGCAGAGGGAGAAAAAGCAGAAGCTAGAGAAAGGTGCATGTTAGATCCTAGTGATGGAAAAGTTTTCATATAGTGAGCCCATGAGAGTATGTTGTTCTGGAGAGGTGGAATGTCTTGTAAGACCTTCATTTGCCCAGAAATGTTGATTTCCAGAAATGACGTATTTCTTAACGTGTGACTGAGGAGATATTTGATTCCTTTAGGAGTGTAGAAGGCAAAGGCAGGCCTTGTTGTTGTTGTTGTTGTTGTTGATTTCTTCAGCAGTAGAATGTCTTATTCTCCAGCTACAAGCATGCAATTCGGTATTGCCCTGTGTGCCTACACACCACTAGAAAATTCTTGATGAAGACCTACCATAGATTAGGCTGAAACATATTTTTCAAACGCATTTGAAATGTTTTTGATAGAAGTTTTTACTTAACAGACTGTACTGACTTGGTATCTCATTATTCAGCTCACTGGTAAATTTAGAGCATTTTAAAATGGGGTTGTGTCTCTCTCCCACTTATTTTCTATCCACATGCAGAATTACTGCATTTTCACACAAAACAGTTTCAGTGTTACATGGTAGGAAAAATGTGCTAGACAGATACAGAGTGGGTCGCATAATTATGCACGAATAATAAAAAGGAAAGATTACTCCCAAGTCTTTTTCCTTCTTTCAGAGTCATCTTGAATTGACTCTCTGAAATGAACCTTGTTAGATGTCATCCTTCATCATTCATATTCCTTCCCCTTGGCCATTCCCTGCCCTTCTGCTTTTCAACAGTGGAAGATGAAAGGTATACAGAGCAAGAGGAGACCTGACATTTGGCAATTGAATTGCCAACTGTAATTCAGTGTTCTTCATGCACTCGTGTGACTGATAGGGAAGTGTATTTGTATGATGTAATCTATGAGCTCTCTTGAGCTCATGTATTTACTTGGAACATAGTTTAAATTGCACGAGGTATCAGGGATCACTGTGATCACTGTGGTATGGATTATGAATGTGAAAATATTTTTGGAGCCTTGCCTCAAGATTTTTTGTTAGCTAATTTGTCTTTTCCTGCTATTTTCTGTTTATGTCAGAGATCTTGCCATTGGACTACGAATAAAACTAGGAGATTGGTTTCGAGTTCTGCAGCTACTGAAAACTGGCTCTGGTGACTCGGATGATGCCCTTCTTGAACAAGCACACAATGCTATTGGAGATTATTTTGCAGACCGTCAGAAGTGGTATGTTCTGTAGGGGAGCTAGAAGGAGGAAAATACAAAGGAGATGATAAATGACAAGACTTAAATTATGAGAAGGGACAGAAATAAGGAAAGTCAGAGTAATACGTTGGATGATTTTGTAATGATGAGATTTAACGCCTTTACATTTGAGAGCTGTTGATCAGCTGTCTAAAGAACGAAGGAAAAAACAAATCTCAGTACTGCCAGAAGTCTGGTCACTTCAAAGAAGGGAGGGAGGAAAGGAGGGAGAGAAAACAAAACAAAAACCAAAGCAGAGACAGTGATACTAGCGTGGGTATGGAATATTAAAAAAACAAACAAACAGGAAGAAGGTACTAAATAACAGTGAATTTCAAATCCACAGATTTTCTAGAACATCTAAAATTAGGGGCATTTGAGAAGGCCCAGAGATCTGTCTGACATGGATATGTCTCCAGCCATTGACAAAAGAACTGCATGCAAATGGTATTTCCCCAAAACATGTTTTGCCGTCAGGGACTTACCTGAGAAGTCATGTCTTAGTGGTTAATAAGTGGCAATGAGACCTTCTTATACTTTCCTTGTTACTTTTTAAACTTACGTGTATTGTAAACATCCAGAGCATTCTGCCAAAGCTCCACTAATTATTACAGTTATGCAAAATGCACTACTAGAAAGACTTTGTCCCAAATTAGTTAAAAGCTTGTGAGTAGATTCTGTAAGTTTATTTCTAGATAATATAGGCAATTAAGAGGTTGGTGTTGGAGGTCGTAGTGCTCATGTTTTAAAGTACAGAGGTGCTCAACTTTCAGTTTTGCTCTGAGTTGCTGGTGACTATCAGGCATGATCTGTGCAGATGTGGGAATACGATTTTCAGGTTCATTGGCATCTTAACCTTATGCTAGTCAGAAAATGAATCTTACTGCTACTTCAGCGTAGTGATTTCTGAAAAGTAAAACATGCAGTGCATTTTAGAAAAAGAGAAATTTTAGTTACTAAAGATCTTGAGCAAAGTTACCCATTTAAAAGGTCATTTTAAATTTACAGACACAAAAGGCTTACCCAGTTTGAAGTTTGGCTTGTATGTCTGATTGTACCACATTCATGTTTTTTCTTTATTAGGTTAAATGCTGTACAGTATTATGTACAAGGACGGAACCAGGAACGTTTAGCTGAATGCTACTACATGCTAGAGGACTACCAAGGACTAGAGAATCTGGCTAACTCACTTCCAGAGAATAATAAGTTACTCCCTGTAAGCAGGAAGTATTGTCTGATTGTCTCATTGTCTTATGTTTAACTTTTTATTTGAAGTATCCCATCTTGGGAAGGAGCAAAACAAGGAATGCACTAATGACCTATTCAAGCACAATGATTCTACTTTGGTATTGATCTGAAATATTACTGTTTTCATTCTCCATCATTCCATTATTGGTCACTTCCACAGATAGATCTGATTGGTCATCAGGCTCTGTGGTCACTGCTAAGTTACAGTTTGCTGGCATTTGTCTCTAAGATAGCTATGCTTCTCTAAGAATTTAATCCTTGTGGCTGGATCCTTAAGCTTTCATTTTGTCATCTAAGATACACTATTTTTTTTTCCTCCCAAATTCTTCCTGGTTTAACTTCTCACATGATAACTCTGGTAGGAATGCTAATGTGCAGTGAAGATTGGAGCTAACTTGCTGAAAGGAAGGAAATTCGTGACTTACTGTGCAATGGCTAATTGAAAACTATAATATGATTGATTATTCCACAGTGCTTGTAAATGTAAAACACACTAACTTAATGTCATTCAGTAGGTGTAATAAAGCAAGATGTTGCATTTTCTATTTAATCTGTAATAGCAAAGTTTTGTGAAGTGGACAATATGTAGTAAGAGCACAGTCCTTCTAGTGTGATTTAATTAGAAAATCTTCAAGCAGTATTTTCTTTAAATACAGAACCAATGTCTAATTCCAGAATGAGTGTGTGAGAGTAGCATGCTGCCTGGAAGACTTACAACTGCGCATGTTGTATTCACAGCATCCGTGCAACAACCTTCTTATCCAAAGTTTGGAATTGAACTAAAAAAACCATACCTGTTGTAGCTTCTATGCAATATAGGAAAAATATGGAAATTAATTTAGTGTGGTGCTATTGCTTTTTTCAGGATATAGCTCATATGTTTGTAAGAGTGGGGATGTGTGAACAAGCTGTTTCAGCCTTTCTGAAATGCAATCGGCCAAAGGATGCAGTAGATACCTGTGTACATCTTAACCAGGTGGGACAACAGTAGTTGATGTGCTTTAGCAATACCAGTTAACCATTCAGATTGTTATCCTACTGCCCAGTTAAATACAAATCCTTGTTAAGCATCAGATGATTCTTCAAGACTTCTGAAAAATTTATACTTTGATTCATAAGCCAGTTATTTGAAATGGGTGCTAGACCATCGAAAGAACAGTGGCATGTACATTTACAGCAGTGCTAAGTACATTTACAGCAATGCTCTGGTAAGCGAGCTCAGCATACAACAGTACGTGGCCTTGCGGCCTTTGTAGGGCTAGGCTCTGCTCAAGTCCGTGCTGCCTCCTGATGCAGCTGGGGGGAAAACTAGGAAGCTTCTGTATCTCCTTTCCTTCCTTCTACAGATACAAATTACTTGTCGCTGCACTGGGATGTAGCTGGAAAAGAGCTGGTCTGAGAAACTGTCAGCGTGTTCACAGATGGAGCTGTTCTCTAGTATGATTTGCTTGCATGTATGCTGTGTCAACACAAATGAGAGAAACTGAGGATGGCAATGAGGGAATCTGTGTGAATGTGAGGGCTGGTTAATGGTGGTGTTATGTGTACAATTTCCTACCTTATGGATAGCTATTGGATATGAGATGGAGCCGGGCTTCTTAGTGCTGCCAACTTTGTGGGCAAACACAGTAGCCAAACTGTTGAAGACAGGAAAATTTATGGACAAAAATGAGGTGTGTAGAAGTTTGCTTTGAGCTCATAGACTGATGTGCTTTTGAGAGTCTGAGTTTCAATAACATCCAAGTGTTAAAATCCACGTATCCAACTATGAGCAGCAATGGTTTTGCAAAGCTTTTATCAAAGCAGAAGCAATTGTTTTCTGTGTGGTTTTGGACCAAGGTCCAGTATTTGTTTCACAAGTCTCCTGCATCACATGACTGGCAATGATGTTATTTGCTTGAATTCTACTTGAGTTGTACAGTAGAGTCATTCTAAATAGTAATGAAGTATTGTGCACAGTTGTTGTGAACTATTCATTAGAAAGCTTGTTCTCAGAGTGCCTTGAAAAATGTAGATTCATCTTTGTTTGCTTTCATTTCTAGTGGAATAAAGCTGTGGAGCTGGCTAAAAATCACAATATGAAAGAGATTGGATCCTTGTTAGCAAGATATGCAACTCATTTACTGGAAAAGAATAAAATCCTTGATGCAATAGAACTCTATCGCAAAGCCAATTACTTCTTTGAAGCTGCTAAGCTCATGTTCAAGGTATTGCAGATTTTATTTTTATATCAGGTATCAAAAGCTAGTCCAAAAGCTCAGTTATTTCCATGCTATTTATTTTCTGGGGGGTTATCTTGTTGTTAAAAATGTACAGGAATGTACCATTAAAGAGGAACTGCCAGGATGAATCCATGTCTAAAGTTTAAGATATCTAGGGTAATTCCTTAAGAAAGAGATGTTCTCTTTAGCCAGTGATGAAGAGAATTTCAGAACACAAACCACCTGATTTGAGACCATCTCTTCTGAATGAGATGAACTGCACCTCAGAAGAGGTCCTTGTCTACTTGAAGGTGTATAGCAAGCCAGCCTGGATGCAATGTCTGCATTGTTTTATGCTGGTTTTATCTCTTTGTTTTTAAGAATAATGATGTTGTGAAGTACCAGTTAAATGTTGGTATTTCTTTCTTCGATTGAAAAATGCTTTTGTGCTTTCAAGATGCAAATTTTTCCTACATTTGGTTTACCTGAAAAGACTTGTGTACATGGCTTATAAAATCTGTAGGAGTGATATGCAGTTTTTATAGTAAATACATATTTTTCTGTATGTATGTTGCTTTCAAAATGCATCCTTCTTATTGAAGGCAATGTATTTCTTAACCTACAGTGTTGAAAAATATTTCTTTATTGTCAGCAGACATAATGGTGACACTGAAATTTTTGAATATCTGGCTTCATGTAGTTGTTGGCTAAACAAATAAAGAATGATGTGCATTCTTCTCTGAGACATTCATTTATAGTTCTGTTTGCAGTCTAATTTATTGCACTCAAATGCAAAATCGTTTCTGGCATAAATTCTGAGGATTGTGCAATGTGTGGCTGTCCAAGAGAATTGTTATTTTTCTTGTACGTGCATACATACATATCTATATATATCTACAATAAATTCCTTCATGTTGGATTTTTCAGATTGCAGATGAAGAGGCAAAGAAAAGAACAAAGCCTTTGCGAGTTAAAAAGCTTTATGTATTATCAGCTTTACTTATGGAGCAATGCCATGAGCAAATGCAGAATGCACAGAGAGGAAAAGTTAAAGGTTCAGAGGTAGTCTTTTCCTTTCTTGAGTTCTACACATTAACTCTTACATGCTCCCTAGTCAGAATAAATAAAACTGCCTTAGGTTATTTCTTAATAACACCCTTTCTTTCTAGAAGAAAGATTTTGTTTATTTCTTTAAAGCAAATGTACCACGAAAACAAACGATTTAATATACTGTTTTAAAACATTTAAATAACTTGTACTAATAGACATTTTTCTGCCTGAGGTTAATGTGTGTGTGTGTATTCTTGAGATTTTCACTGCAACAAGAAAAATCATACTAAGATTTTCTTTTCCTTTGAGAATCTCACTTTACTGATGTTTAGGAATAACTGTCAATCTCACAGTGAGATTTTGTGATTAGTTCAAGTTGGCTATAATGTAGCAGGGAGACTACTCCAGATAGGGGGGAAGCAAATGGATGTGTTTTTTTTTTTAATGCTTGTACTTTCATCTTTGTGTGCACAAATGAAAGAGTTTAAACAAAGTTTTAAGAGATCTGGTGTTGAAATGCAGTATTAATCCAAAGTACGCACTAGCCTGCAGATGTGCACATAATATATTTATACACATCTGCACCATATGTTCTGCTTATGCACTGTCAAAAATGCCTAACAGCGTTCATTTTAGGTCCGTGTATTTATATTTTCTCCAGTTAACACAAACAGTTGGTACAATCACCAAATACAGAAAAGTTCTTTTCATGTATCACCATTTCCCACTGTATCCGTTTTCTGTATAAAAATGACTTGTGACACTGCTTTGCTTCAGACTGCTTCAGCTCTGGCGGGTTTGCTGGAAGAAGATGTCCTTTCTTCAACTAATCGCTTTGCAGACAATGCTTGGCGAGGAGCAGAAGCTTACCATTTCTTCATACTTGCACAGAGACAGCTCTATAAAGGTTGTGTAGATGCAGCACTTAAAACAGGTAGGATTTCTTCTCTCAGCATGTAAAGAAACGGCTCTAATTTTACAGGCATGCACTGAGCATACTTTCATCTACAGTTCATACATTTTTCTGTTGTTGCTAGATCCATGGGATTTAAAACAGAGCCATGTAACAAACTGTAGCTGAATCTGGCTGCAGTCAAGATACTTGGAAAGTATGTTTTTGGATACAATGGAAATGTAACTTCCCAAGTATTACCTGGTTAAATTGGACAGTCTCTTTATACCTTCTGTTGACTGTTTTGTTTTTTTTTTTAAATTCATGTTGGACATCCTTGTAGACAGCTTTTTAAAGTATCTGTGGGAGTTAGAGAAATAAATAGTGCCTTCTACTTGCTACAAATCTTGGAGGTCCATTTCAAATACTTCTACATGGTTTCTTTTAAAATTATTATTAATGTTTTTAGAGTATTTGAGGAAAAAGTGTGTCAACCTCAACAAGGCTCTTTCAGTTGCTGTTCAAATGCACTTGCTTTTCCTTTATTTCTGTTTATTTTTTTAAATATGTTGAATCACGAATGCAGGCTTTATAATGTCAGTGAAAAGACTGGTTTGTGTTGTCCAGTGGAATTATTTGCAGGACTAATACTAATCTAAATACTAATCCATAGTGACTGTTTTGTACAGAAGCTTGCATTTCTCAGGAGATACGTAATCATGTCCTTTGGATTTTCTTTTTTTCATTTCTTAGCTCTTCATTTGAGAGATTATGAAGACATTATTCCTGCAGTTGAAATCTATTCTCTTTTGGCTGTCTGTGCATGTGCAAACAGAGCATTTGATACTTGTTCAAAAGCCTTTGTTAAACTAGAATCCTTGGAAACTCTTAGCCAGGAGCAAAGGCAGCAGTATGAAGATCTTGCTCTAGAGATATTCACAAGACATTGTCCAAAGAACAACAAAAAAACTGATCTGGATGATGTTCTCGAGAGGTGAGTTATACATGTATGATATAAAAATATTAACCTGTTTTTTTTTGTTTGTTTTTCCTGCTCTGGTGTGTTTGAGCAGTCTTTGCTCAAACCAAATACTATGCAAGAATGAGGCAGGTGTTAGCCAGTTCATAGAACATAAAAAAAATGCTTCATTTGAGAGAATCATAGAATGGCCAGGGTTGGAAGGGACCTCAAGGATCACCAAGCTCCAAGCCCCCCGCCACAAGCAGGGCTGCCAACCTTTAATACCATTTAATACCAGATCAGGCTGCCCAGGGCCCCTTCCAACCTGGCCTTGAACGCCTCCAGGGATGGGGCATCCACAGCCTCTCTGAGCAGCCTGTTCTGTTGTAATTTGGGGAAGGAAAATGTGCAGAGGGAACTGAGATTGTTGATGTTCCAGGAACTGGCCAGAAGGATGTAGCATCTTAATTTGCAATATACATGGACAGAGTACCTTTACTAAATATGTTATCATATATTATGTGCCATTAAGGTAATCATGTTACTGTGTTTACATCACCATTGTGGAATGATGCAAGTGTGAACCATTATGTGTACAGTATTCTGTGAATTACCTACATTGTGTGGTGACAGATGAGTACTGCAAATTAAAGAGTCAGGATATGAAAGTCATAAGATGTAATTGTTTGGAGTGACTGTACCCCAAATGCTGTCACTGACATCTGTTTCCTGCTGAAAGCCTGGAATATATGAGTATGGAAATTGCTTGTGAATCCATTTTATTTTCAGTGAGTAACATTTTAACTTTTCAGAATCCTACTAATAACTTTTATGTCGATTCTCCAGAGGAATAAATGCAGTAGTAGTGCAGGTGTTAACTGGACCTTACCTTTATATATCTTTCACTGCTTTTCTCTTAGTCATTGGGTCAGCTGGTCCTAATTTGTTGGCTGTACGGTTCTGCGGGTGTGCATTCCACTGTGTGAAAATTTACATACTTGGCTCTGCTAAGCATACACAGTTATGTGATGTAATAGCTTGTAAGAAGGAAGAAGCACATTCCTGAATAGAGAAGCAGTATTTTGTAGGTGAACAGCACCACTTTTCAAAGTATCTGTAAGCACACAGTTAAGACATAGTTAAAGGTATTTATGGTGTTTTACAAATTTATACATGTAGGGTTTTAAAATTTATTTTACTGTTTTAAAACCATGTTTTTTAATCTTTGTGACTCTTCTTAAACAGCGGAGATGGGAAGCTTCCTGTATGTGTTGCAACAGGAGACCCTATCCTGGAGTATCGATTCTGGATGTGCAGTGTGTGTAAGCATTGTATGAAAGCCAAAGAAAGAAGCAATTACAACTTCTGTCCTCTGTGCCACTGCTCAGCGTAGTGGAGGACAGGACTGCGTGTTCCCAGTCTGTTGCATCTTAGGAAAGGACCTTCAAAAATCGTTATTTCTGTATGTATGACATTTCAAACCACACTGCCAGTTCTGCACTCTCACAGATAGTGCCACTGCTACAGAAATGATTCAAAATAACAACCTTTCTTCCTCTGTAAGAAAGGCTTAAGATAACAGCATTCTTTGAGCCTAATTTCTGAATCATGCAAAGTGTTCTGTTATATTTGAGCTCCTTTTCATTGTTGCAGTGCCATAGGAAATGGTTGCATTTTGTCAAACTGGCCATTTTTCTTGGAGGGCACAATTCTTCAGCTGAAACCATTGTGATGGAATTATACACATTTTTCTACTACCATTTTCCTGAAGCCGGCGTTTCTATTTAGCGACAAGCCTGCTGTTTCAAGAGCCGCCTGTCCCGCATCCATCTTACTGCACAACGAACCAACGCGGCTTTATGTGTAGAATGACTTTATTAAATATTTTTCAATTCTGACACGCGAGGCTCTTCTCCGTTCGTGTCGCGGGCCGCACCAGTCACCGCAGAAGCGGGGCGGCTCTCCTCAGGCAGCGCCACGGCGTGCAGCGCGGCCCTCTTTCCCACGCGCGCCCGTCCCCTCCGCCGCCCCGGAAGTCTCCACACAGCGCCGCGCGGGAAGCCCGCCATGCAGCGTGAGGCGGCGGCGGGAGGCTCGGCCGAGCTGCTGGCGGCGGCGCACGCGCTGTTCGCGGCGCGGCGGTTCGAGGCGGCGGAGGAGCTGTACGGCCGCTTCATCGCTGGGGGAGCGGGGTACGGCGGGGAGGGGAGGGGGTGGGTGCGGGACACTACTCGCCCCACGGCCCTGACGGCCGCTCTCTCCCCGCGCAGAACCGGCCGCGATCTCGCCACCGCCCTCAATAACCGCGGGCAGATCAAATACCTCCGGGTGGACTTCGACGCCGCTATGGAGGATTACACGGCCGCCATCCAGAGCCAGCCCGCCTTCGAGGTGCCCTACTACAACCGGGGCCTGGTGCTCTACCGGCTGGGTACGGCGCCGCCTCCATGAGTGACCTGGGGGCAGTCTGACCCCAGGCGGGCGGAGCGACCCGACCGCGGCCCTCGGTCCCGCTCCGAGCCGGGAGGGGCGGGAGCTCCGTCTGAGCTGGGAGGGGTTGTGATGTCTGACTGACGGCCCGGGCTGGAGAGCTCCATCTGCGGGAGCCTGGAGACCGACGAGCCGGGGAAAGATACCTGGAACCTGAGTGTGACGGGGCTGCAGCTGGGAACGGGGGTTGTTCAGAATGGAGGAGACCCAGGGGAGACCTTACTGCCCACTGCAACTCCCTGAAAGGAGGTTGTAGCGAGGTAGGGTTTGGCCTCTTCTCCCAGGTAACTTCAACAGGATGAGAGGGAATGGGCTCAAGTTGCACCGGGGGAGGTTCAGGTCAGATATTAGGAAACATTTCTTCTAACATGCATTGGCACAGGCTGCCCAGGGAGCTGGGGGAGTCACCATCCCTGGAGGTGTTCCAGAGCGGTGGAGATGTGGCACTGAAAGATGTGGTTAGTGGGCATATAATCATGGAATCACAGGTTGGAAAGAACATACAAGTTCATCTAGTCCAACCATCCTCCCATTGCCATTGCTACCACAAGCACTAAAAAACCATATCTCATGGCTTCTCATCTAGATGCCTCGTGAACATTGCTAGGAATGGTTACTTCACCACCTTCTTGGGCAGCCATTCCAGTGCCCAACCACTCTGAGAGAAAAAGTTCTTGCTTATGTCCAACCTAAATTTCCTCTGGTGCAACTTGTGGACATTTCCTAGGGTCCTGCTTGTTGCCTGAGAGAAGAGACCAAACCCCTCCTCACCACAACCTCCCTTCAGGAAGTTGTAAAGTGCAGTGAGGTCTCCTATGAGCCTCCTCTTCTCCAGATTAAACAATCCCAGCTCCCTCAGCTGCTCCTTGTAAGACTTGTGCTCCAGACCCCACAAGTCTGGCATGGTGGGGATGGGTGGGTGGTTGGACAAGGTGATCTTAGAGGTCTTTTCCAGCCTCGCTGATTCTATGATTAGGAGCCCTTCTTCTGCTTTATGACTATGCAGTTAACAGAAAGATTTTCTTTTTTTTCTTTTTGGACAGGATGCTTTGATGAGGCCATGAAAGATTTCAGGAAAGTTTTAGAGTTGAACCCTCAGTTTGAGGATGCTGCATTAAGTCTAAAACAGGCTATTCTTGACAAAGAAGAAAAACAAAAGCGAGGTTATTGAAGACGCGGCTAATGGTGTGAACACTTCAGTGATTTTTGTCATTGATGGGTGAAACAGAATCATTTATTTACGTTCACTATGCTCTACTGAAGAAACGTCATTCTGGGGTAAATAAGTGAGAAATGCATTGTAATTTTAAAATAAACTATTTTTGGATATTGTTTGTGTTTTGGAAAAGCATAATTTTAGATCTCTGTGGGTCACTTGTCATTTTGTTCAGGAGCACTTGATATAAAGCTATTGGAAGGTCAGCAGCAGCTATCGAATTATGTTCTCTTATTAAAGCTGTGATTCTGTCTTTTCTCTCATATTGTGTTAAATACCTTCATGGAGAAAAACCCTAGAATGGTTTGGGTTGGAAGGGACCTTTAAAGATCATCCAGTTCCAGCCCCGTGACATGGGCAGGGTTGCTGCCCACTGGATTAGGTTTCCCGAGGCCTCATCTACCTGACTGAACACTTCCAGGGTTGGGGCCGTCCACAACTTTTGTTGGCAACCTCATTTAGTTTGATTAGGTTTAGGTTAGATACTAGGAGGAAGTTTTTCACACAGAGTGGTGACACACTGGAACAGGTCACCCAAGGAGGCTGTGGATGCCCCATCCCTGCAGGCATTCAAGGCCAGGCTGGATGTGGCTTTGGGTAGCCTGGTCTGCTGGTTGGTGACCCTGCACATAGCAGGGATGTTGAAACCAGGTGATTATTGTGGTCCTTTTCAACCCAGGCCATTCTATGATTCTATATGATTCTATGATCTAAAACATTTACATTATTAAGACTGTGATTTGTGAAAAGTACTGTGACAATAATGAAGGTCTTACTGTTTGTCTACATGACAGCAGTTTGAAGCTAAAGGCTTCGGGGTGTTTGTGTATTAAGAAAAACTGCAGACCTTTTCAGGAGACACCAAGTGTACCTTTGATGATGAGTTCAGTCCTTTTTAAGTTCATTTAAGCTCTTTAGAGCTACTTTTACATTACCTAAAAAGGTAGCAGAGCATCTTTTTGATCTCATTGTAAAAATATCAAACAGTCAGAGATTAATAATGGAATTAATAATGCTCATAAAAGTATAAAGGTTTTAAGAAAGGAAAGAATATTAGTTTGCCCTAGTTGACATTAGGAGAATATATATAAATAAATGGTCCTAATGATGATTCTCCTTCCTCTGACAATGTGGATGATCCTGAAGCCTGCACAGTTAGTGGTAGAAACATTTGGGTAAATTATTGGAGCAGACGTCAGTCTCTGAACTTCTTTGCCTTCTTTCTGTGGTTCCCTAGCAGTCATACCAAGAGTGCTTTCGGGTTTGGGATGAGTGACTAACAGCTGCAGTGGGCAAATTAAGTAAATGTGATGCGTAATGACAATAATTTAACCATTTACAGTTTGGAATGTGGCTCCAGAAGTTAGTGACTAGGTTTTACAGAGATGAATTTTGGACTTTGTGAATATACCAAGCACACGCTCCATTTCCACTGTTGTATCTTGATGCTCTCTGTCCAAAACAGCACATAAGAATTTGTATTTTTCATGCCACCCCAGTCTCCAAAGCTGAGAAATCTTACCAGCTCATTTGATGGTGAGAAGGTGAGCTGAGACTATACTTGTCATCAAAATTTGTAAGGCAATATGAACAGTTGAATGTGACCTCTGAAGTTCTACTTTGAGGAATTATTACCTAGTGCTGTGTGGTGGTCTGTCACTCACAACTGTTGAAAACGTATCAAAAAGCTTAAGGACGTGTTTATTAACTTTCCTTGTTCTGCAAGGTTTCCTGTTTGTAATCCTTTTAAGAACTAAAAATCTAATGGAGAGCAGTCAAACTCTTTACACAGTGTTCCATATGCAATTCAGACAAATTTCAGCTTGTGAAAGAAGCCCGGACTGTTTACTTTGGATGCACTGCAACACGGAGGTGTGGTGGCTTTATACTTTCACGAGGCTTTAGGGGTTGTCTGTGCTCGAAAACTGCAAAGCTCTGTAGAGCATCTGGGTCAGTCCTGGCTGTCCGCTCCACCACGGCTGCAGTGTGGTACCATGAAGTCCAACAGGTGGCTGCTGCTAATGTGTGCTGACTGGCTTGTTGCTCTGGCCAGAAATGTTTCAGACATGAATAATTCACAGCTGCTATCCCAAGGTTTCCTACCTATAAACCTACTCTCCAAAAGCCGTTGATTCTTTCCTTCGTGTAGCCTTCACTGGCAGTTCCACGTAGCTGGGATTAATTTGGCAACAAGTAACTGTTCTCACCTGATCATAGAATCAGAATTGCTCAGGTTGGAAAAGATCTTGGAGTCTAACCACAACCTAACCATACTACCCGAACTCTAACAGCCCTCTGCTAAATCACGTCCCTGAGCACCAAATCCAAATGGTTTTTAAACACATCCAGGGTTGTGACTCAATGTGATTCAACCACCTCCCTGGGCTGCCTATTCCAGTGCTTAACAACCCTTTCTGTAAAGAAGTGTTTCCTGATATCCAACCTAAACTTACCCTGGTGCAACTTGAGGCCATTTCCTCTCATCCTTTTCCCAGTGAGAAGAGACCAACCCCGCTCTTGCTGGAAGCACCTTTCAGAAATTGGAAGAGAGCCATAAGGTCTCCCCTCATCCTTCTTTTCCCAAGACTAAGCAGCCCCAGTTCCTTCAGTCTCTCCTCGCAGGGCACATTCTCCAAGCCCTTCACAAGCCTTGTTGCCCTTCTTTGGTCCTGCCCCAGTACCTCAATGTCCTTTCTGTACTGAGGTGTCCAAAACTGAGCACAATACTCGAGGTGAGGCCTCACCAATGCTGAGTACAGGGGCAGGATGACTTCCCTAGTCCTGCTCACCACACCATTCCTGATACAAGCCATTGGCTTTCTTGGCCGCCTGGGCACACTGCATGATACCCTAAGTTTAAAAAAAATGTCTTGATTTCCCTGTTGAATTACAGAATGTTCCAGGTACTGAAGGAAAACAATCCACAACCTCCAAGATCTTACTTGTTCAGAGGATGTGGCAAAGAGTAACATCATCCTGTGCTTTTTCATAGTACCCTGATTTTCCTTCTGCTGAGACACAGGAGGAGTCACAGAGCTTGCCCACTTTGTGTTGCAAAGGCCTTTCCATGCTTTTGCAGCAAGGGAGGAAAAGATAAGAGAAGGGCAGGGTAGCAGGCCAAACCAGGGCACGGAACAGTCTGAGAAATGTTTCATGTATAGTTAAGAGTGTGAGGTGCAGCATGGAGAACAAGGAGAATCATTCTGACGGAGAAGTGGTGGCACGTTGAGGGGAAAGGCCTAGGTTATAAGGGGTAAGAATTAATTCCTTTTCAACGTACGGGCAGCAGAAGTAAGCCAACATTAGATAGCTGAAAGTCTGTTAGAACTGAGGGCTGTGCTGTGCACTGTCTCATTTGGTAGGTAACCTTGTTAAAAGTGAAGTAGGAGTGAAAGGTGTGCTGTTCATACAAGGTGGAATGGATGCCTTTGTGCAACCCAGCTCAGCTATGCAGCAGTGCTGGCCCCTGTGGGAAAGACAGAGGTTCAAAAAGGTGAAAACAACATTCAGAACTTGAAACTACTGATAAAAGGCGGATGCATTTTGTGTGTCAGTGCGTTAGTGTAGGTCTGAGGTAGAGGCTTTCACGTGTGCTGGAAGAGCTGGGTGCTTGACTAGAGCACAGTGTTGGAAGGATGCACTCAAGTCTAAACTGAGTGCATAAACCCAACATGCTTATGATTGAGCATTAAAATTTTGTATGCCAAGAAGAGCAACCAGACTAGGAAGAGTCAAGCAAAGTGTGGAATTTCCCTGTTGGATCTCTGTAAATGTGGGAACCTGAAATGCTTGTGGAAAAAGAAATGCAGGTGCATCTCACCTCCTGTTGTCCCCTCCCAGCCTGCCAGGGAGGGAATTATCTCCCTGCTGGCCAGGTGCTGGCTGCACAAGTAGGGAGCAATGCTGGACTCCTTCCTGGCATCCCAGGGCAAAAGGGAATGATGTGGGTTATTCCACTTGCTGCAGAGGAATTTTCCTGAGATGCATAGGGAGCAAACAGCAAACCTCAGGGGACCTGATGCTCTGGGCAGCCTGGTCTAGTGGTTGGCAACCCTGCATATAGCAGGGGGTTGAAACTAGATGAACTTTGAGGTTCTTTTCAACCCAGGCCAGGCTATGATCCTATTCTATGATTCTATGATTCACATCTGCATGGAACCAGATGGTGTCCCCTGTGGGTGGGGAAAAGGAGAGCTCGTGTTCACTCATCGGTATTTAAATTCAGTCCTGGTTTACATATTTCAAAGTGCTTTTTAGGTGAAGATAAAATGATGAGCTTGCTACTGCGAGCACCAAAAATGGGGACTGCTTTGCCTTGAAGAACATGTGGTAGACCAGCTGGGCTGTGCAGTGCTAGCTCCGGACAGCAGAGTGCAGTGCGTGTACAGCAGAGAGGAATGCATCTGCCGGGCTGCTGCTGGAGGGAAGCATCCATGTCTGTGCACTGATCAGACTGCATGAGCTGTACAAACCCAGAGGAAACTGCTCATGTGTGTGTTGTTAGTCTGAATTGGCATTGGTGCAGTTGTCACATCTTTGCTGCTGTTGGAACACCAAATCATGTTGCAGTCTACCTTCAGTTAGCATAGGCATGACCTGAGAATGAGTTAGAGGTGATTCCGTATCTGTTTTGTCCTTGATCTCTGGAAAATAACCCTTCTTATTTTTTTATTCTCTTAAAAAATGTTTTCTGTACTCAAAGAAAATAAATAGTCAAATGAGTTGTTCATTTCCCTGATGTTGGAGCATCTGTTCTCCCTCATTGGAGTTAGGAGAGACAAAAGCAGGGAACTAACAAGCTTCCAAGAAGCTCAGATCAATGCAGTATTATAATCAAAAAACAACTGTTGTGACACCGTATTGCATGTGGAAGAAGCCCTAAGTAGCAGGTTGCCTGACTCTTTGGAGCCAGTGGTAGTACAACGGACGGTTGCTGTTGCAAACTAGCAAAGAGATGTTCTGTGCTTACATTAGTTTGTATGTATTTTTATTTGACTTTTCAGATTTTCACTTTACATTCACATGGAGGAATTGGCAGTTACTTCAAGAAGCAGCCATAATCAGGATTGGAATAAATTTAGTTATCTGCAAATCCATATTTCAACAGCTGGAAGAATCATTTTCGTGATCTGCAAGTCCATATTTCAACAGCTGGAAGAAGCAAGAAGTGTTATTTTGAAGCTTGGGGTTACTTTCTGGTAAGTTTTCTTTTGTAGTCACTTCAGAGAGACAACAGGTTACACCATTTGCTAATCCTGTTGGCAGACCTTAGCACTTTCCAGTGTTGTAGAGCTGTCCTGAGTCCCACAGTCTGAACTTTTCACTTCAAGCAAGATAGTTTTGTAATCACTGAGAGGTAGCTTCAGTGTCTGGATGCATGTTGAGAGAGTAGCCGGCATAGCAGAGCCTTTGAGTGCTGTTGGAGACACACAGCAAAGTGATGAGTGAAGCTGGAGCACTCGGTGAATAGCTCTGGTCCTCTAAAGACAGACAAAGCTATGGGGTGTGCCCTAACATTTTGGGGGGATTTGGATACAATGATGTTTTGTTACTCTTTGTATTTAATATTTTGAATCCGTTTTCTTTCAGTTCAATCCCGATGACTGCTGAAGGCAGTCCAGTTGAAAACCTGCTGAAATAGCATCTTCCACGTTTCCAAAACTGCCTGACTCCAGCATACCATGTTTTACTGCTGGCATCTTCTCTAGAGCTGTACCACCTGTGTTTTGCTTGGCAGGTAGCTCTCCTTCTTTCCTTTCTTATTGGTTCAAGCAATAAACCAGGAGACCACATACCCTGCTTGTTCCCAAGTTCTTATCCCAAATGCTTTTGAAAAGGTAGCAGAACCAAGCTGGAGACAGTGTCCCAGAAAGGTCTTATAAGACAAGGTATGTATCAAGTGACTCAAAACAAGGTGACATAAGTGAGTGCACAGGGCCAAGCGTTCTTACCAAATTCAGTTTATGTGCTTCATCTTAGGTCTGATTCAACAATCCAGACTGGTCCAGCAAGTACATAACCATGGAGGTGGGCTGAATTGTGACCTGGAAAGGCTGAGAATGACACGTATTTGTGTATCTTTTCAAGAACATATAAATGCTGTTCTTCAGTGCTAATGTATTAAACTATGAGCTCAAGGTAACATTACAGACTCCATATTGAAGACATTTCAGATACCAAAATCAAGAGTCCTAAATCCCTTGAAATCATCAGGCCAGGAGTGCTTTGCTAAGGATCTTTTTCTCTGAGCACTTACCGTTCCTCTCTGTGCTTGGGCTGCACTGTCCTCTGCAAGGAATGCCAGGCAGTGTGTTAGCAGCAGAGCAGACTGCCACTGAACAGTGCACATACACCTGAGAAGAAGCAGAACCATTTGGTCCACATGAGATCTCTCTTGCAGAGCACTGTTATGCCTTTTGTTCTCCTTTTGCAGAAGTTACAGCTGATTAGACTCAGGTTTGTCTGAACACTTGCATATGACACCTTCTAGCTGAACCTGCTTTGAATTTCAAATTTGGTGTCAAAGAAGCCCTCAGGCAGTTTGGTAACTGAGAGGCTGAGATGAGAGAAGTGAAAACCTCATGAGCCTCAGAGAGGCTGAGTGTTAAAGCTAGACAGAAACTCAATCTTGCGCTAGATGCAGCTGCCCGTTTAGGAAGTAGCACATGCCAGAATTGCATCATGTTCATTTCTAGCAAGTTCACAAGTTGAACAACTCAAAAAAGGCCAAGTAAAAAAATCATGTGCTTAAGCTGCCTAGACAGTGGTGCTGCCATGACTTGAGCTAGAATCAACTCAACTGGGTACCTGAGGTACAATGCACTCCCAGTTGACTGTTCTGGGTTTTCTTTGCTCTTCTTACAATGTTGAAGGAAAACAGATTCTCCAAAATGTAAGGCCAGACACACATTCCTCTGCTTCCCTGCCTACTGGTCTGGCTTCTGAGCAGATGTCTGACTGGCAGGTGAGAGATGACAGGGTCAAATTCCTGTTGCATGTTATGGTGTAAAAGTTGAGTTTTCTGTTCTAGACATGTTCAGTTGAAGTGCTGTGAATATGTCCCTATAAAATCTCAAGAACACCATATAAAAATCGTATTTGCATACCAAATTTCATTGTTTACTCCAGACTGTCCAATTTCAAGTCACTGGAATCATGTTACAGAGGGGATTTGAGAAGAGAACTAAATTAAATCTACACTCCAGTCAGGCTACTTGGGCTGGACGCTGGATAGGTCTTAACTCTGTGAGGTATTTAAATTGGCTGGGTTTTTAATTGATCTTAAGAAGTACTCCAGATTGGGTCCATGAATGGTAGATGAGCCTTTTACTTAACCTTACCTGTTTCAGTCGATGTGTCAGGGTCCTTACTGCCAGCCTTTTGAAATGAGAAGGGTGTCTCACTCTAGAGCTAGCAGCTACTGAGCAGAACTCTGCAACATACTCACTGCCATTAATCTCACACCTATTTGAGAGAACAGATCAAAAGATCTAGAAGAAATCATAGTTCCTCTGATGAACACATTGGTCATTCAGTTACTACTTGCCCATCCACAGTGATGTTCCACCTTGGGGTGCTGTTGAAATCTAGAGACCCTGCCACCCAACAGTTATCCAGGTATAACTCAGCATCAGGGCTCTCATCTTTCAGCTCCACCTCGAGAAACACAGGCTCTGTGGGTCGCTTGAGTATCGCCACATCGGGCTCGTAGAAATCCACGAAAGATTCACCTTGAGAAAACATCAGGGGATTTTGTTGTAGGCTAAAATTTTTAGATCAAAGCACATGTGGAGTTTTTCTGATTTTTTTTTTTTTTTTTTTTTTTTTTTAAGACTTACTTTTGGACACTCTTGAAACTACATTCAGAGCTTGTCTTATCCTTCTGTGTACTGCAGATAAGGAAATGTTGGTGATGTTCTTTAGTAGAAAGCAGATTACAAGTGAAAAAGTCACAGAAGTTCCAAATTGTAGGAAGATCATAGAATCATAGAATGTCTTGGGTTGGAAGGTACCCCAAGGATCATCAATTCCAACCCCCCTGCCACAGGCAGGGCCACCAACCTCCAGATCTGGTACTAGACCAGGCTGCCCAGGGCCTGACCCTCCAACCTGATCTTGAACACTGCCAGGAATGGGGCATCCACAGCCTTTCTGGGCAGCCTATTCCAACACCTCACCACTCTCTCTGTGAAGAACATCCCCCTGACATCTAATCTAAACCTTCCCTCCTTGAGCTTAAAACTATTCCCCCTTGTCCTATCTCTATCTACCCGAGTGAAAAGCTAATTAAAAGAAAAAAGACAATCGCCTACCTGCAGAATTTGACCTTGGCACTATTGTACCAGAGCCAGAGGGATGTGATGCAGAAGGCTTGCTAATGAAGGCACCTAGCATCACTGTCTCTTTTGCTCGATAGTAGCACAAGACTGTTAAACTATAATAGGAAAAACAGTAATGTATGTGTTCTCTTTCCACCACCAAAGTGTGTTGTCATTGAGCAGTTGCTGCTCCTACCTGTAGTCTGGATCTCTTGTGATTGTCGACTGGCTTTGTCCTGGAAGAATCTCTTTCTCATAAGAGATTTCATTTTCATAAACAATGTGATCACCTTCAAACTGTGCATATAGGAAGCTCATTAAAAACCAGATTTTCTCGGGTTCTGGGGCAAGGCAACAAAAGAGAAAATGCAGAAGAGACAGAGACTTGCAGCAGATGTGTTTGTTCCGGTCACAGACTTACCCTTACTGAAGTGCCACAGGTGGTGACATGGAATTTGAAGAAGGCATGTTCTTTGTTATACTCTTTAGGCTTGCATGAGCTATCCCTTAGTTGGGTTCTACTCATATCAATGCCAGGAACTGTCTTCATTTGGGCTGATAGAATTACAGTACCATCTGGGTAGCATACTGAGAAAATCAGAGTTGGTTGTAAACTCAAGGGAAGAAGTACAGACCTCTTTGTTGATTGACCATTTTTACAACTTACATATAAATGCTGGGGAATTAAAATTGCAGCTAACAGAGAATGTCTGCAAGGTCTCCATGGTTCTCACTTTCCTTAGGGCAACATCAAACCTTGCTTTAATTTTCTGGAAGGACACTTCCTGTGAAGGAGGGGATGGAAGAGATCTCCTGTTAAGGCCAAAATTCTGCTCTTTAGTTTGTGCCATTTGAATACCAAAAAGTCATGAGAGTTATGTCAGTGTGACAACTCAAGCCTGATGCAGCATGGAGGCAGGAGTTTTCTGTTATGAATTAATTTGTCACTGTCAAAGAGAGATAAATTTTGTCTGATTATTGTAAAATGCTCCAGATATTTACTACCACATCAATTTTAACATTTCTACAAGACGTTCCTTTAAAAGGAACATCAAAGTTATGTTGAAATACAGTTTTTGGCTTTGTGCAGAAGGGACATTTTGCCTCTTCTTACTATTAACACTGAGGAGTCTGTTTTGAAGTCTGTTTTTGGTGCACATCTTTTAGCATTAGCACTGCAGATCATGTAACACATGGCATTACCAGAAGAGTCTGCGTTGGTCACTCTTGTCCTCCTTGCACTGGTTTAGAGTCATCCCCTCTACAGGTTTTCCAATACCCGTTATACTGTGGCATTGTGGCAGTGTAACTGTATCTGTGTGGACAAACAGCCCTAAGTGCTTTAAAGAAGGCTGTTAACACAGTTCACATACCTCATAGATGACTCCCACAGCAAACAGAGGTATTTGCAGGATCAGATGAGTAGCATTGGTAGCTGTCAGGTACCCATTTGTATGTGCAGTGTGCCTGTTCAGAAGCTTGGTGCCAAGGTACAGGTTCCAGTACTGGTGCAGGCCAAAACCAGGAATGATCAGGTAGAGGTTTTCTTCATCACAGTAACCAACTGCTTCTGGTATTTCTGTGGGAGGAGGTGGGATAAAGAGTTAGCAGTGAATGAGGGTTTGCCTCAGGCACAGATCTGTATCTGTCAATTTTGCACTGGCACTGCAGCAGTGCACACATGTATTGGCATCACCTATGGTTGTTGGCTGTGCTGTGTATGTACAGCTCACAGTCAGCAGGATCTGGAATCCTTATACTTTAGCCCTGGCCTGCCAGCTTGCTGACAGGATTGCTCCCTGTTTAGTAATGCAAGACGGACTACGTATGTAAATTGATTTGTTTGGTCAGTCTTCTTTAGGCTGAGCTCAGAGCAACTTTAAAGATGGAACAGGACAGTGAAGAGACTGTCACCTTTGGGACATCCAGAATCTAAGAAGTTTGAAAAAATACCAACTGGACCTCCTGGCTGTTTCAATAAGCTGCTAAATTCAGCTCGTACCAGATGATTTTCTCTTTATAGAAATGTTCTCTTTGGAGTTCACAGCAATTTATTTGCATTTTGTCCTGGACACAGAGGCAGAATTGCATTTGAGGACAAACTGAAATTCGTAGCAATGTCTGAAAGTTTTGCCAGTAGATGTATGTTCAAGTTATGAGGCATCTTGTTCGCTGAGTTTGCTAGCCAACTACTTTTACACACTGGTTTTTATAGCTCTCAGTGTCTCGAGGGCAGATTGTCTTGCCAGTATGCAGAAGAGCTGCCATCAGAAAAGCAGCAAGTTGGCCTGGTTACCAATAATGAGCTATTGAAGGGTGGGGTTTTCCCAAAAGCTCTCATCCTCAGCCTAACTCCCCTGTGAATTCAATGAAAATCATCCATGCTGTTGATGCAAACCATTCAATATTGTGGCAAAACTTACCAATATCTGCAATCACACATTCCACCTCTGCAGAATGATAATAGGGTATCATCTCTGGACCCACGCTTATAGTGTAGTTAACAAGAAGGGTATATTTTGTTTCATTTCTGTTCACATACTGAAAGAGAGAGAAGTATAAGGCTGTGGTAGCAATGGCTTCCAGCGCAGACAGAGATGCATACCCTGAGCAGCACTAAATAATCATTCTAGCACTCTCCTCTCCCTAACAAACAGCTTTTCTCCAAAAACGTCGCTTCAGTTGGCCTAAAACTATTCAGAAATCTGGACTGGATTCAACAGCTCTGTTGGCCAAACATAAATATGGAGAATATCGTGCTGCTCAGAAAATGGAGGCAGAAGCCTGCTAGCGAAAGAGCCCAAAGAGGGAGGTCTGGGTCCAAATCCTTATCTTTACTGTGGTCTGAATGCAGGAGAATGATTAATTGGTAAGGTAGAAGATATGAGGAGGTGCTATGAGAAATTTCTCAACATTCTCATTTATTTTAGTACAAGTGCCCCTGAAGCTAAACCTGCTGTTCAACCTGAAAGAAGTATGAAATGAAATGTTGTGGCTTACTTTGCTCCTTAATGCAATTTAACTGTGGTTTGACTGCAGTCTGAAATTATTTGTGCAAGTCCAGATCCCGTGCGTTCACAGTGTTGTTCCTTGTAACAGAAAATAGCACTGCAGCTCTGCGTGATTTGGTCAAAAAGGTGGCAGAGGTGCACCTCAGCATCCTCCCCCTAAAATGAGAGGCTGAATTCCCTCTGCAAGTTTATACTTTTTAGAAATATTTAGATTACAAGCGGTCTGAAGCTGAACAGAATTACATATAGAATAACCTGAGTCAGCCTGTACCTATCCGTGTGGTGCTTGCCCTGTGCCAACAGGCAAATGGCTCTGCATAAAAGCAGGTTTGGGAGTCACTGGATGTTGGTAATGGCTGGTTTGCAGGATTGTAGTAATTGATTTATTTTTCCAAGGGACTCCTGTTTCAAGGGGCAGCATTTAACAGAGATTTGACAAACTTCTTCCTGCTCAGCATTGTGCCTGGAAATTAACTGTGCTGACAGACACTAAAGGAAGTCATATTTCATGCTATCTAGCTACACTTGATGCTGCAGAGGTCTAGGGAGAGCAACATGCAACAGGCAAATCTCTAATCTTAATTCAGATGAATTCAGAATCACTGACACCTTTAATAAAGGAATAATATAGGAATGATAAAGGAATGATAAAAGAATGGCTGTTGATTAATAAGAGACAGGCAATTGTTCAGCAAAAGGACTGCCCTACTTCCTCCACACAGCAGAGATCTACTATATCTTACCTCCTTTAGAACGTATGGATCATCAAAGGAGACTTCCAAGATAAATTCTTTCGTTCCATTAGAAAAAGGAGTTTCATAGATCTTATACCCATGCTGCTGTGCTTCTCTGAGGGTAAATGGCACATTTCCTATTGTTATTGCCACCAGAGAGACATCAGGAAGAAAGTGTCCAAATGCAACATTAAATATCTTTTCCTCTGGCAGAGTATCTGTAGGAGAGAACACCAAATTATTGCTGATGTGGATCAAGTAACTAAGACAGTTGGGGTGGCCTCCCATTCATGTTCCAGGAAACTTAGCCAACAGCCATCTCTTTAATGGCCCTGATTAATGACTGTTTGTATTCTAGTCAGATCTGAAATACTCTGAGTACATGAGAATTGCTTCAAGCTGCGAGAGATTAACAACAAATATATACATATATACAACCTCACAGAAAGCGGGTTCGGTAACTTTCTAGAGGTGCACTATGACATGCAATGACTTTTCAGCCGTGGAATCTAGAATCCACTTCAGCTGCATAAAATAGGGGAAAACTATGATAATAAATGCTAAGGGGCTCTTCTAAAATTTATTTTCTTTTAAGTATCAGTTATCCAAATATCTCTGAAAGATGTCTAGTGCCTTAGTGCATTGGAAAATATCATTTAAAAAAACACAAACATTTCTGCACCACTGTTTTACATGATGATTTCAGTATTTTTCAGATAACAAATGCAAGCTGGTTTGAGGAGAAAATGCCGTTCGTGGACACTGGCCTCAGGCAGTTCTTCCCCTCAGTGTGATTATTGCATAATGCAACATCTTTACTCTAGATCTTTATTCTTGGAAAAAAATCTGGTGGTTGGAGTGACAGAAATGTTCTTATCAGCAACTTAAAATTGTCGTTTCATCTCATAAAGACAGGGGATAAATGGTACACTTATGCGTGCTAAAGGTTCATTTTGTTTTTTTAATGCCTCGAATCTTGTCTTTGGCTAGCAAATTGGAAGTGGGAGTTGAGAACATTCTGGCGAATATCAGTGTGTAGCAAAGGTCAAATGGAGTAACACATATTGCAGCAGAAGGATGAGAGTGGGAAAGTCAAAGGGAAGAATGACTTACTGTTGATAACGGTTGGTATTTGTGGCATGAAAGGTGTAGTGATGGATTTGATGACAGTATACTTAGTGGTTTGCCAGTCTGCATCTGTCCACGTGTGCTCCAAGAACAAGTCAATGCTGTAAATGATTCCATATACACCGCCAGATACAGAACTCTAGGAGGTAAAATCTGTGATTAGGCCTCAATAGTCAAAGCCTCAATGAAGGAATGATGGAATAAGGTTTAAATTCTTACACTATAAAGGAAAAATAGTGTTGTAGGGAAGTTTGGGATGGATTTTGCTATGTTAGGATCTTGTTTCTTTGCCTGGGCCCATTTGTCAGGTCCATGTTTTCCTCACATGCTGCTGAGATCCTTAGTAAGGTAGTATTGGGTCTGGGACATCCTCAGTAAATTTAGTAAATAAGTTTAGTATTTGCATATATTTTCTTTTTTAGCTGTCACTGGGCAATCAGTTGTGTCTCTCATTCTGTCCCATTTTGCTTGGAAAATTTTTCAGCGCTTCAGCAGCTCTTCAGACTAAGTGTGTCTGGTGCTATTGTGCCCATGGTGATGTAAGTATCCACTGATACACCAAAAAGTTAACTGCTGAGGAGGATAAGTCAAAGTCACACCACTGTCACCTTCATAACTTAACTAGTAAAGAGTCTTGTGAGAATACTGCCAGCTCCATTTTTACTTTTAACATTTCTTTGGTCTCTGCCTCTGTGCCTGTAACTATAGATTGACACAGATTACACTATGTCCAAAACAAGTGGCTGGGCCCAAATTATGTTCTGGCAGTAAACCCTGTTTCGTGTTAACTCATGATGACTGCATGGAAGTTGTCTGGGAAACTGCTCATTGACCTGGCCAGAAATATTCCAGGACCAGATCTTAATGTAATAATGTAGGTGATTGAACTGCAGTGCCCAGGAATCCCTTATAATTTATTAGCATAGACGTTATCAGGAAAATACACTCTTTTGCATCTACCGTGTTTTCTAATCAGAGATACTTTTGAGAAAGTTCTTTTGAGACACAGAGAGGGAGTATCTAGTCTTCTGGTATTGCTTGTATCTGAGAATTTCAAACAGCAATCACTTTTTGGAACATGGCTTGGAAATGTTTTCCGTGGTGCATCATCCATCTAAAACGTATTAGTCTGTGACAGGTTCGTACTAACCTTTAGTTTTCCTCCTTCTGCTCCAATGGGGATAGTTACTCCAATATGTGTCTTGTTGTGCTCCAGTAAGTAGTTGTTCTTGTCTGGGTTTACTATATATTGGCCGTCGACTCCCATTAAAATGGTTTTAGACAAAAAGGTGGATTCTTGAAGCACTAATGTGGGGATAATACTTGGCACAGTCCATGTCAGCGTAGTATCAGTGAAGCTGGTACCATCTGTTGAGTTAGACAGACAGTCCTAGAAGGCCGGGCAGTTGGAGTTACTAGTGAGCCTTCCCTCTGCAGTGGTTGTTTTCCCTGACTCCTTTTCACTAGAGCACTTCTACAGCTTTCACTAATGAAACACCTTGTAGAAAAGCCTTGATGGCTTTTCTGCCATACGAGACTTCAATTACCAGTTTCAAATGAGCAATTAATTTATTAATTACTGACAGTCATGGTCCCCCTTATCTGCTCTGCTGTCTTTTTTGTCCCAGAATTTTGCTTTACTGGCAAAGGAATAGGACACAGAGCCACTTGCTTGGATTTTTTTCCTAAAAATATTGGCTTCACGGTTGTGACAATTTACGATATCCTTTTTCCTCACTGATTGATCAAATTATGTTCAGACTGAGCTGAGAGACAGAAGGTGCAGCTACCTCTGCTCTGCAAAAAGCCAGACTAACTCTACATCTCTACAGAAGAGGTCTAGGTGAGTCCCAAGGACAGAGCTTCATCCATGGATGGAGTTGTGTTGACAGTGAAGAACCAAAGGTGCTGAGGTTAGAACAGGGAATGCTCCCTGCCCTTCTGCAGCAATTTTATTGGTCTCCAGCTCTAATGCAGGAGTCTGAGAAACTAGACTAGGGGACAAAAGTGCACCAGGAACACAAGTAATGTGTTATAGCAGGGAACAAACATGTTTGTTCAGGACTAAGGCCATGGACTCTTAGCTCATGCTGCTCGGAGGGAAGCTTGCAAACCTCTTCTCTTAAAGAGTAGGTCACAGAGAAACAGGGGGACTGTGTTTCTTACTAGATACTTAGGTAGTAATTTTTGGTAAGCATGGAAGAAAACCTTACCTAGAGGACAGGAGACTGTCATGTCAATCAGCAAAAGTAACCACCGCTGCCTATACATAGAAGTGGAGGTGATCATGTTCATGTCTACACCACCGACCTGTTGGGATACAGGAAAAAAGACAAACTGATGTGCTAGGGAGGCAGTGGAAGAACTCAGTTTTGTTTCCAAGTGAGAGCAGCAACTCACCACACTGATTTCAGATTCATTGCTGTGGTAGGGAGCACGGAGGTACACTCGGGAAAGTGTATTATTGAAGCTGTAGCCCAGTTTTGCTGCATCGCTTACCAGTATTCTCTTTCTCCCTGATGGAGAAACAAACATCAGTTGCCATACCTGGTATGCAACATTCTGAGTCTGCAAGAGAGAGATGAGCTGCATCAGATCAAAGTCTATCTTATAAATAGTTGTGATGTTGTAGTATCTGTTTTATTGCTAGGACACAACTGGTCCACCCAGACAAGAAACATGCTTGATATATAAAAAACTTAAGGAATTTTCTATAGAGATAGTTCCATACCAACTCTGTCAGAAACTCTCACTGTTGGCATTGATCAAATCCCCTTGGAAAAAATGCCTGTACAGTTAATAAGATGATTGCCTTTGTGTCTGTCAAATATTGGAACAGTGGAGTAGTCACGTGACAGAATACCTTTTATCAAAAGTGGGCATGCTGTGTCAAAGATAAGATGAGATGAATGTCTGTTGTGGTCTAGAATGGCCTCCTTCTCAAATGGTATCCATGTGTGTGTGAAGGGGTGGGGGTGTGGGAAGTAACCGAAAGGAAAAATGGCCATATGAAGAAAGTGAAATGTAAGAAAAATAGAACAAGCATACAGATGTGCCTCCTAATACTTTCCAACCTCAAATTATTTTCAGCTCAGAGACTCTTGAGCTTTCTGTCGCTTCTTTGTATGTCCTATTGGATTTTGCCTATATGAACGTTTCTAGGCTATCCTTGATACCAAGCAAGATTTTAGCAGCCACATTTTTTGGTAGGATATTTGACAGATTCACTACCCATTGCGTGAAGAACTGCCTACCTTTGTCTGTTTTGTACTCAGTTTCCACAAACATAAGAAGCACATGGCTCTGCTCTCCCTCCTAAATGTTTTTTTGCGATCTAGATCTCTAAGAAAACTTGAGAGCGTTTTTGAGTACTTGGTGACATCTTTGTTGTATTCCTTTTTTTGACAGAGATGGGAGTTGTGCCCTGAGCATTACTCATGAGGTTACCAAGAAGAAGCAGGCTAGAAGCTGCTAGAAAAGACTCCTTCATACCTCTGGCAGTGCTGACATCCATGCTACGGTGTAGTCATTTGAAACTGCAGGGACATCAGTCTTCACTGACACCTGGGAACACAGAGGTTATTATTTGGAAACAAGCAAATCTTCAGCATTATGATAGGCATGGGAGGCAGGTAGAGGATTTTCAAATTTCTTTTCCAGTGTGTGTATGGATTTAGCAAGTTGCATTCTCTGCAGGTGACTAAAATGCGTCCTGAAGGGTTCTGCACTCTTTTAAGTTCTGTGACTTTAAACTGGAGGTCAAAACCATTGCGTTTTTAGTGTTTCATGTACAAAAGGAGGAGTACTTTTGTGTATAACCAGGTAAATCAAAGGTCCTGTTTCATAACTGGCAAGCCGAAGACTAAATCATTCTGTAGAGACTTCCAGAGGCATCTGGTTCTCTTCACTGAAGGTACAGGGAAACAGGCAACTTGTTATGTCAGAACTGGTTCCCCCTTCCCATGCAGGCTGTGCACCCAGGAATACTGATAGAAGGTTGAACAGCCAAATCTAGAAATAGGCATGCTCTAGCCCACAAGGGGTGTCCTCTGAGTTGCATGATGCAATGGATTTCAGGTTTTAATATTTCATATAGAAGGATAACATCCTTGTTTGTGCTGCAGCACTCTATAACATGAAATTATTGCCATGAATAGGTCAGGCTGCATCACTGCTGATTTTCTTATAGGGTCAAGCTTACAGCATCTGTATACTTCTCTGAATTTTCACTGCATGTAAATACTTGTGGCAGGTAAATGTTTTATTGATGAGCATCCACAGCTGCAGCCTATGCTGAATAGCAGCGTGCATCCCAACCTATGTCTGATGGGAGGTTGTGGAGGTTGCTGTGCTTGGAGAGAGCTTGGATGTGGCTTTGCCTGTAGTGGTAAAACTTTTACCTCCATGTAGTTTTCTTCACACACAATTTCTCTCGAGGCCCAGGAAGAGTAGGAGCAGTACATAGGGTAGGTGTAGGTCACAGCTGCCCTCATGCTTGCAAATGAGGAGACTTTAATGTTCACAGTCAGTGAAAACAGCTCATCTGCCTGGGAGGGAAAATGGAGGTAAAGCGCTCTTGACTAGCTCCATTACAAAGTCTTCTTGATCCTTCAGTCCTGCAGGAGCTGAACGTGAAGCCATGGGCTATGCTTCTATCTGACACGGAAGTATTATTTATCTACAGAAACGCAAACAAAGGCAAAACCCTCCCGAAAAAGAATTCAGTCTAAAAATCTTGGTCATTGCACAACACAGTGTACACCCCCTGTTCACGTTAACATAAGATTTCCCCATACATTTTTACCTTATTTTCTCTGCGGGGCTTTCAGGACATGCCAGAAAATATGCGGGCAAGATAAGAAGGTTTTTCTCTGGTATGTTCTGTTTCTAGGTTTATTTAGTTTTGACTAACATTAGAAATTAGAAATCCAGGCTAAACTTTATACATATTTTAGGAAGGAGTGAATCACCTTCCGGAGATGCCTGATTCTCTCCATTGACTATTGTGGAAGCATAAACAACTAGTTTAGACCAGACGTTATCTTTCAGATGGCTAAAGTTACACCAGGCAAATTTGGATCTAATAGATGTGTGTGATCTACATCCCTAGGCATGTGTTAACAGGCACATTACCACACAAATTAAGCCAGAAAATGATCTGCCAGAATCACACTGCAAATGTTGCTTTTTCAAGCAGATGCCTACTTCTTTCCAGAGAGGTTTTCAAGAAAGTCTCTGGCAAATCAGCAGTAACGAGGATATGCTTGGGGGCTGGCAGCTTATCAGCAGCACTACGCTGTCATTTCTTGGGGAGAGGAAATCCCACGTCAGTCACACTGAACAAACATCATACTGAAGAGCCATTGCCTATTCGTTGCCTACACACCATCAACACTAGTTCAAGTTCAGTACTTCTTGGGTTCTCCAAACATGCTGTTGGAATGCTATATAATGTCCCAGTCTTGCCTTGCTGGAGAAGATGTACCATCTGAAGTGGCTTTAGGCCCATCTGTAGGTCTTACCTCATTGGCCACATGACAGCTGAGCACTGAGGCGCGGAAGACGGGGTTGCCCCACACATCTTCTGACAGGACATAGCCACAGCGAGATGCTAGTTTGTCATCCAGCAGGACGGGGCCAGCATAAGGATCTACAGAAAAGGGCATTGGGAAATGACATGTGGATTGGAAAGCTGAAAGCAGTGGGTTGAGCAGAACTGAGTCCTCCTCACGTTGCTCTCTTCAGAAAAGAAGTCCAGCTGGGCTGGGTGTACTCCAACAACATGTGTTGTTAAGAAGCTGGCAAAGCTCTGCTGGTGTGTGTTAGAGAGCATGTGATAGTCTGGCATGTCTCATGCTCACCCACATTACATGCATACACTTCAATGCCCATTGTGCTGTGTCCAGAAGCTTGTGCCACAGCCCTCTTGAAGCGCTGTTACCGAGTTCCACCAAGATATCACATGTGTTCCTCCTTTCCTGATTTTACTCTCGAAAAAAGAGTTACGGGCCATACATTTCTAAAATCCTCAAGATGCATTTTGGACAGGCAGTTCTACGAGTGGGTCAGGTTTGCTCATCTTGGCAGGATGCTGTGTGCTGTTAGGCCTATGGGAGAGCCAAGTAATAGGCACATTGGGAGCTGGCTGTGCTCAGCTCTTGATGCTGGTAGAATTAACGACATCATATTCTGTTAATTATCTGCTTTTCTGATTAAGGAGCTATTTTGGTCTTGGGTTAGACACAAGAATCTGTACAAATAGATAGGGTTTAATTAGCTGTCATTGTAATTTCAAGATTTATCTGTCATCTTTATATGTCGAACAGTACTAATAACTGCTGTTTCAGTAGATGTATTCTTGCAGCCAGGATAGACTAAGCAGATAAGTGAGAGGAATTTTGGAAGAGGAGAAAATAGCTTTCATGAGACCAACTGATAGAGCTGGAAGAAACAAACAACCTTTATGTGCCTGAAGGCTTGTATGTTTTTTCCAGCAATATCAGTTGCTCTCATAAAAGCTATCACTTCTCTCCACACCCTTGCTGTACTTGACTTTTTCAGTTCTGCCTCCAAATCAATCAAAAAAAGCTCAAAACCCAGGAAAAAGTGGACTGATCTCAACAGAAAGAAATCTGTTTTGGGGTCAAATTGCATACTTTGTTCAATTCAATGCTAACATTTTCTGGTTTTCATCTTGGTTAAGTAGATTTTTGTTTTCCTCAGCAAAATGGAGACCATTTGTTCGATTTGATATAGGACAGTTTGCTAATATCGTGATGCTGAATTAAAAAAAAAAAAAAGAAAAAAAAAATCCTATATTTGCTGAAGTACTTGCTCAGCTCTCACTGAGAGTGTTTTCTAAGTATTACCCAGGCAATACTGCCATAGTCATTTATGCTGACTAGGATGTATCCAAGTTGCAATTTCATCTTAGTTTCCCTCGTTAGATGTGAAAAGTCTCAGCAGAGAAAAACATGACATCCAAATGTCAGTCCTTCCTCATTGGACCATCCTTCCATCTTTCCTCTGGCAAGCTACATGTAAGGGGCAAAGGGGCTGTGACTGTAGATACAAGCTTTGCTCACCAGCAGGACTGCTGGCCAGACTGAAGTGTGAGAGGCTAGGTGTAGGTAGGTTCTTTTGGGGTAAATGAGCAGCTAATTGCGACACAGATGGCAGCGGAATCCAGATCACATGCATGGTGATGGTGCAGGTGATTCCCCACCCATCACGGTGCTCAGGGCAGCCCCTTATGACTCACCGTTGATTTCCAGCTGGAAAAATTTCCCCTGGAGCAAAAGTTTATTCAGTTTCATCCAGAAAATTCTGGAGCGGCAACTGCTCTGTACCAAACCTGGTGAGGGCACATGGAGAGCAGATTAGCCAGTGGGACTGAAGGACAAGAGGCATTACTTCCTACAAGTGAAATAACCATCCTCGCTTCTCCCACTATCCTTTCACCAACCTGGGGGAGCCATCTGCCTCTCTTGTCCCACACAGAACAGCAAGAAAAGCATCCAGATCCTGCAGTGTAAACATATGTGCAAACAACGGGGTGAGCAATAAAAAAAAAAAAAAGATCAAGATGGAAAATGAAAGAACCAGCAACCAAAGCCTCAGTACCTGCATAACGAGTAACCCACAGCTTCCATCAGTCCACAGAGACCTGTGCATGGGCAGCGAAGTCCTCCTGACTGTGAAGGAAACTAATCCAGCTGTGGAGCTTAATCAGACACAGGGGGAAAAGTAAATCTGACCTTTTACAACAGAGGTTGCGCCGTCTCCTCCAGCCCCTGAATGCTGCAGTGCCCTCCCACGTTATCTGAACTGTTGGCAGCAGGAGGCAGCGTCCCTCTCGCTCAGCCCCTGGGAGGGCAGAGCACCCTCCTGCCAGGAGTCCCAAGGTCAGGGGCTGCTGCTGAGCCCAGCTTTAGTGAGTGCAGCAGGGGGTGCTCACAGCTTTCCTTCAGGCCCTTCAAAGCAACCTCATTCCTGGTAAGCCAGTGGAGTAGCTTTGGCTTCAGGTCTCAAGTGCACATGAAACATGTCTCCGGAGATATTTTAATTGGGTCTATACAGGAAATACATTTTTGTTTCTGTGAAATGTCCCAATGACCCAGCCATGCCAGAGATAACAGCAGTTCTTTGGCAGCCACACTCTTCACTTTTGTGGATCCAGTTAGCTCGCCCTTTGATTTGTTTGATTATTGGACAGTGTTTTGTTGCAAACATCTTGTGCTCTGCTATCACTGGATCAGTCAGACCATGTACAGGTCTGTAAACAGCCAAACTTACTGCCTGGGAAGAGAAAGTCCGTGCTCCCGGTGGGAGCTGTGGCAGATGGGAGCATGCCAGGGGAGCAGGAAGGCTGAGGCAGAAATACAGCTTGTGTGGCATGGATGTGGTAAGGGGAGGTGGGGAATACAGGACATTCAGAGTTCAATTACCTTTTTGTCTCCATTTTGGTGTTACCCAACCAATCTTAATTTACTGTTCTGATGTGTAAGCAGAGTTGTGCTAAGGAAATGGGATTGTTTTTATGGAGTGCTTCACACTGCTTTGGGGTCAACAAAAGCCATCAAGAATGTCCACTCTCAGTCCAGAGCCATTTTCCCATTAGTCCCCCTAGCTCAGAGGACCTCGGCAGTAATGGCAGAACCATACAGCCACCCTGCGAGATACATACACTCACTTTATACAGCAGGAAGTAGAATAGGAGTGCTCTGGAGCAGAGCCCTGGGGCTTCAGCAGTCCTGTAATGAATGCCTGTTGGCTGTAAGACTCTTTCCCGTTCAGCAGGACCTGAAGTCCGACTTCTGCAGCGAACTTCTCGTGAGCTCGCATCGAACGCGCCGTGTGATCCCGGCCTGCGGTAACACCGTGTCCTCAGACTCAGAGTGACTCTTCATTGAATCCAGCTGCGGCTGAATTCGGCTGGAAGTGGCGGTGCTCAGATACCACAGTGATGAGTGTGGTGTAACAATGAGATTTTGATTTTTGAGTGAAAACTTCAGTATATTTGGATAGCAAACCGTTCCAATTCTGATAAGCCACTTCCAAGAGCCATGTAGCATCTCTCTGAGATACTGGGAGTCAAGGTCTGAGGGAGCCATGTTTGAAAGAGCATGCTTGCAATTTATTAATGAACAGCCAGCCATCAGGGTAGGTACACAACTGCAATTAGCTGCCTTCTTTGCACAAGCGGTGGGGAGTTGAATTTCTGCATCTTTGGACAACTCAGGGCACCACGATTACTTTGCTTCTGGCAATACTTGTGGTCCTAAATATGGCAGGCATAACTTTGGATGTGACATAGTAATTGTGGTCAGTGTGCGATAGCCAGCTGTTGGCCTCGTTGTCAACCAAGCAAAGCAAAGCAAGTCCAGGTCAAATGGTTTTGGCTTCCAAGGATCACTTAACTGCTGCGGAAAGCATTGTTAGCATTGGGAGGCTGCTTGTGGTCCCTAAAGTCTCTCTGGTACTCATTATAAAGGTAGGGAGGATAAGCTTGTGCATTCCAGGTTATTATATTTTGTCTACTCAGTTTTCCTTGCTGTTCTGGCTGAATAAGAGCACCCATCCTCATGTTCTTTTAGGATAATAAACAGCTGCTGTGTTTCGACACTGAGATGATGGCGTTCTGTGGTGGATAAGATGATTCATGTCTTGGGCTCTTTTGAGTGAAAGGTACTGTTTGAATGTAATGTTTTGGTTTCTCTCTTGTTTTTGTCTCTTTTTTTTTTTTCTTTCCTGTATGGGTTTGGAACTTCTGCATTATATAATGTGATTGAAAGTTTAAAAACAGCCACTTGGAGCAGCATACATATAGCACCTCTCCCAGATAAGCTTGCTTTTGATGGTGAAAAAAGGCTCTGACCCATTGAGTCACAGGGTTTTTCTGTTGTTCTGTGGCACTGGAATCCCTAAGAATTTTCCATTTTTCTATCACAAGTCTTTTAATTAAAACTTTATTCCCAACTTGTTGGATGGAAGAAATATTCCCCCCCCCCAACACTAGATCCCATATGATGCTTTTAGGTAAGTTTAGTAGTCTGATACTTGAGTGTAGAATGGAATTAAATGGCATTTATTGCTGGACAGAAAGAAAATGTTGAACAATAAATGGGGAAAGAAGGGGGTGAAGTCTGGTTTTTACAGAACTGTATGTGTTGGAAGATCTGGAGATCGAGTCCAGTCTCCTGCTAAAGCAGGTTCCCTAAAACCTGTGTTTTTTCCTACTTGTATCAGACTGTACCAGGTTTTAATGTACCAGAATCTTTTCTACATTGAGATGGGAGAACCCAAGATAAGAAATCTTTCTCCTGTCCTCTTGAAGCTTTAAGACTGGCATATCTGAAATAAAGATAGAATTGTTACTACTTCAGTGTTTCTGAACGGAGAAATAGCTGCCCTCTTGGTAACCCAAACCATGATAACCAAATAGAGAGACATGGGGGAAATCTTTTGAAGGAGATCTTTCTGAATGAAATACCTTGTGGTAAGCTAAGAATTCGATATCTAGATTGGAAATTCAGTCAATGAGGAATGGGACTGATGCTCAGCTTTATGTCTGGGACATGTTTTCTGTGAGATGCAGGGAGGTGCAAGCAACCTTCAGCTGCAGGAAAGCATTTTTCTCTGGGGAGTCTCAATCACCTGAGCAGGAGTGTGTGCCTGAGCTCTGCCCTGCATGCTCTTTGCGTACACAGGGAGCAGTCAAAGAGCTTGTAAGGAGAAACAGCATATAAGTGCAGTAGTCATTTAACTTGATATAGAACCTTAAGGTAACCTTGTTGATGCAGCTAAAGTACTCTGCCTATATTCGTGTGCACACAATGCTTCAGAGGGCTAAGGCCTTGCTCTGATGTGCATCCCCTGTAAGGAACAATTGCAGAATAAGCTGAAGGAGGTAATTTCTTCCTTTCCCCATGAGCTGGTAGCTGGGTTATACCCTGGCCTATGAGGGTTTACGTTCTCCATTTGTTATAATAAAACTATTATTCATATTATTGTCTGTATAATGTGTGTTTAGAAAGCGCACTTGTGTTTAAGCCATTTTTATCTTCAAAATATACCACACTCAAATTCTTATGAGCTCCAGAAAGCAACACTTGCTGTCATTGCATGCCACTAAATTGTTAAAGTGGTGGAAAAAACGCTTATAAGCAGATTGTACAACGATGGGCTTTTAATTTTTTTTTTAACGTGCTGTTGGTGTTAATTTCTGTGCGCCTGTAATGTTTGCGTTCACTGTAACTGAACAATAGAACTTTGTTTTTGTTCTTTGTGTAAATTAAAAACATCTGTTCTCTTTATACAAAAAGTTGTTTTTTAAAAGAAGCTGGTCTGATCTAACTAAATACCAATGCTGTGTCCACAATGAGTTACTATTAATATTTGGGAAAGGCAACCATCCAAAGCAAGTGTAATGTCAAATCACTGGCGGGAGTGCATATTTATTGCTAGAAGTGACAGATAAAAATGCAGAGGTTACAAAAACAAAATTCTTGTGGATGACTAATGATGCATATATATGCCCCCAATGCCCCATCACCACATTTACAATTGGCGGGGTGTTCTCTGCGGCCTCTGCTCCCCAGGATTAATTGACAAGAAGCAAGTAGCTGGCAACCTCCCTGGGGGAATGGCTCTGCTCCACCTTCCCTCCGGCAGACCCTGAATGGAGTGACCCTCAGAGCCTACTGGAATCTGGTCCATCTATTTAAGTTGTCTGACTTTTCCCCCACCTCCCTCTGGTATTTGATTGCATGGGACTCTTTTCCAGTGAAGGCATGTGACTTTTTGTGCAGGTGGAGGAGGTGGAGCACCCCATCCATGTTCTGACTGCGCCTGCGATGCCGGCACGGTGGTTGTCTTTGGAGCTGGCTGTAAAGTCTCGATATGAAGGAGCTGGCAGCCTAAGGCTGGAGCTTGTCATCCTCCTCCCGAGGAGTGCTCAGCAGTGGTGCACTGGATTAGCTAGAGATTATTTCAGGGAAATACATATATTACCTGTGGCAGAACTGGGGTCTTAGAGGTACAAAGCTCTGTCTGCCTAAGTGGATAGGTTGTGCTGTCACTGAAGTGTTTGAGTACCTTGGAGACTACGAAATTATCCTCACAGACAGACATCTCGGGAAGGAAATATATATAATTAACATTTCTTGAGATCTTTCGGACAACTGTACTTAGCACAGTTTTTGCTTAAATCTCATTTATCTCAATAAGACATCACTGTATGAGCAAACACTGTCCAGAACCTGGATCTACAGGGTTTGGATCTGCTTCTTCCCTTCTGCTACCTCTGGTGCTCTGTGCCAGGAGCATGCAACCTCAGACCAGCAAGAACCAAGAAGAAAAAGTGGATATTTCATTGATGTTATTCATCTCTATCTCTTTCTACAATGTCTTTCCTCTTACTGCAGTGTCCCTCTCTCCCTTACCTTCCTTCCCACACCTGCTCCTGCTGCAGCTCAGAGGGCTGGGGAAGCCACGTCCTATGGAGACCAGCTATCATCAGCCCTTGGTTGTATTTCCCCTCTGTATCAGGCACCACTGGCTGTCTCCAAGATCCAGCTGAGTTCAGAACTTGCTGAGTCACATTTTTACCACAAAACACTCATGTGCTTCCTGAGAGTCACAGTGTTCTAGGCACGGCTTGGCCAGAGAGGAGCAGACAGCTCTCACCCTGAAGCTCATCCAGGAATGCTGGCAAGGAGTTGCTTTTTATTTCCTATCTCGAGTTACCGCAACACGGTTAAGACTACAAAAGCCTGAAATCCCTGGCAAGCTAACACTGTACATCTGTCTAAGATGACGGCCAGCATGGACAA